GGACACGCACATGGTGGGCATGTCGTGAGCGGAGCCGGCTGGAGCCGGGGGTCAGACTAGATGGTCTGGGAGCCCCCTTCTGACTCGCTCTGCTCCTATATAACCTGCAAAGTTTCAGGATAGGTTTAGGCAAGTTATGATGAATCAAGAGAAGCTTAAGGTTCTTTTATTCTGCTCAGTTTGTGCCACGGTAATAGAAAGTCGAACAGGGCAGGAGTAGAGGGCGGACTGATGGCGTTGTTATCCACAAAGTGTGGCTGAAGCGGAAGGACCGGGCATCCGGCATTTTTCCGGCCAGCATCCAGCACTACCCCCTGCTGCCTCTCACCGGCGGCTCCTGCTCATTTCCGGCTCCTAGGAGGGGGAATGAGCACCGTGCCCCGAGGGGAATCCCTTTGCCACCCGTTCCTTGGCGCCCTGGCATCAGCCAGTCCCCTGCCCTCTGCAGTGAGGACCTGGCAGAGCAGCCGCATTGCTGTGCGCCACGTCCTCTCCCTCCCTTCACCAGAGTCTTCCTTGCGTGGAGAACCTGAGGAGGCGAAGATCCGTTTTGCAGGGGCACCGCCTGGCCCTCTGCTTTGCTGACAGAACTTTGGGAGAGTTGGGGTTCAGATTTGGCCTGCTTCGGAAGAGACCCACTTTGATTTGTGCTTCTCCCAAATCTTTCTGAAGCAGTTCAGGATTCGGCTAATTCCACCGTAAGCACAACTTAGAATTCCTAGAATTCTTTGAGATCTTAAAATCATGGAATAGTCGAGTTGGACGGGGACAGGAAGGCCATCAGAACATGTCCCCCTGCTTCGGAGCAGAGTCCTGGGCACCAGCTATCAGTCCCGGGAGGAGCCAGCTTTGGACCAGGCCTTACCCGCCTGGGAGTCCCCCATGTCCCACCCAGGAATCCACTGCAGCCCCAGAGGATTCTGGGGCAAGCGCTCCTCTGAAGTGTGCCTGCTCCCGAGCAGCCCTCTCCTCACAGGGGGTCTTCTGGGCTCTGGAGCCACTGCTGCTCTTGGGAGCTGGAGGACGCGCAGCCTTCCTCATAGAGCAGGCGCTCCCTGGCCATGGTGGGAAGGCGTCATGGCTGCCCCGTGCCCAGGCTCCTCCCGGCGGTCTGGGATGGACCCTTCTCGACGTGGTCTCCAGGGGCCACCGAGGGCTCCTCCAGCGGGGCCATGTCCTGGGGAAGCCACAAAGCACCTCATCGCATCCTCCTCCTTGCACAGTCCCCGAGGGAGCGGCCAGAGATCCACACTGGGGGCCTGCCTCCGAATGCATTCCGCCAGGTGGTGTGGCCGTCCGTGGAAGTGGGTGGCCCATGACGGGGATCACAAGCGACCGATCCCCCGTGCAGAGCAGGGGGGAGAGCGGCTCCAGCCGGGCTCCTCCTGTTGCCTGAGATGCCTGTGTTTGGGGTTGCCTGCCAGGGGAGGGCTCCTTCGCAGGAGCCCCCGTGTGGCCCAGCTAGAGAGAGGCCTGAGAGGAGGGGCTGGCTCAGCAGGGGTGCGGGACTCCACGGGCAGCCTCTGGGCAGTCTGGTGCCCCCAGGGCAGCCCCACAGGCTGCAAGGATGCAAGTAGCAGCCCAGCAGATCTGGAGGCCCCACACTGCGGGGCGGGGGGCCCGTCGGGCCCGGGAGTCGTGGGTCGCAGTGCCTGCCTTTCTTCCCTGTTCACCTCACCTTTCCTCTCCTTGTGCTTTAGTCTGCTTATCAGCTGGCTGCAAACAGGAGCGTATCAGCCCTGGAGGGCACTGAGAGACTTCCACCTTTTTGAAAGGGAGGGAAGTCAGAAAAAAAGCCTGAATAGAGGTTTGTGACAAAATCCTTCCAGTGTGTGGCCAACCCCAAGAGATTTGCATTGTGACCAGAACTGGGCCGATATGCACAGGAGGGGCGGCACAGAGAGCAGATTGTACGCCGGCCTGGTGAGGAGAGCCCGCCGGTGCCATGGGAAGCGCACACGGTTCCCTGGGGAGCTCTCCCCCCGCCCCCCCGAGCCATGGCCTTCCCTGGGAGGTCTTCCTTGGGTGGGGGCGTGCGCCCTTTCGCCTGTCCCTGAGAAGTGAGCAAGCACCTGGCAGCTTGAGGAACAGGCCTGATGGATGGGGGGCAGGGGGAGGAGGGAAACACCTCAAAGCAAGGAGAAAATTACCTGAGTCTCTCCTCCCGCCAAACACTATTAAGCACCTTCATCTTGCGAACCAGAAGGCTGTGCCTGAAACTGCCAGGCTGCAGCCGCCTTGGCCTTTGTGTGATCCATCTTTCGCCTTGCGGGAAAGAGACGTGGGGGTGTCTTTTCCTGCTTTTGCTAATGTCAGAGAATCCCAGAGCTGGATGGGGCTGTTGAGGCCGTGGAGTCCAACTCCTTGCTCCGGGCAGGAACGCAGCTCCAAGCACACCCAGCTGTCCAGTCTCGGAAGGAATGGCTTCCTCCGCACCTTCCTGGCCCTCCCCCCCCCCCCCCCCAGGTGCCTGGCCTGTTGCCAGCTCCCGGTCCTGCAGCCCCCATCCCCTGCCAGACCCTGCACCCACACAGAGGCACATGGACCTGCGACTGCCCTCGGAGACCCCACGGCCAGGAAGTGAGTCTGGCTCCCGTGCTGCGTCATGGCACCTCTTTTTCGCAAGGCCTCAGGGTCTGATTCGGAGCAAAGGGTGAGGGGCACGGCTGGGGTTGCAGGCTCCCCCTCCCCCTCCCCGCAGCGCTTGGAGGAGCAGTGGCACGCCAGGGCGGGGACCTGAAAGGCAGTGCTGGTGCGGCGGATCCAGCAGCCTTCTCTCCATTCTGCGGCTAGGCCTTCCCTCTCCGGGCATCCCTGCCCAGGCTGAGGCCCAGACCAGCAGCGCAGCTGCCGAATGGGGCCGTCCACAGAGCCACGCTCCAGGGAAGGCCCACGAGTCCAGCCGGAAGCTGCTCCCAGGCATATCCCACTCTCCCAGCAGCAGGCGTGGGGCACAGCCAAGGGGCCTTTGTGGCCCCGGCAGGAGCACCGGGCTGGGCAGCTTTGTGCAGCCCCGCAAGCCGCAGCGCAGGGCAAGCCGCGGAGCACGGCTTGCTTGCCCAGGGCCCGTGATGTGCCTGAGATGACGCATCCTGTCCCAGTGTGACAAGGCAAAGGCTGGGGAGACCACACTTCAGGACAAGGGGCCCTTCCCTTGTTTTGAGGCGTCTCTGCCTGACCCCTGGGCAAGCTTAAAACTCCCACGTGACTGTGCAAATCCAACTCTGAGTGGCTTTAGCTTGGCCCAGGAACCACCCTGAGAACGTGGCTTGTTCAAGCCACAGTGGTGTATCTTCTCCAAACCTAGACAGTGGAACCCATTCAGGCTTATGCCAAACCACTAGCACTGGGCAGAAGTGGCGACCCCCTCCCTGGTGGACGGTGCGGGCTTCGTGGGGCTGGCCTGGCTGAATGGGGCAGCACTTGCTTTCAGACGCAGTCCCGCTCCTTGCAATATGGTTGGGCTGGTTCTGCTGCTGGAAAGGTCCCAAACAAGGTGTGGAATCAAAAGTGGGGAGGGGCGGCGGGAAATCCCACTGAGCCTCCTCCCCCGGCGGCCATGCCTCGCCCCGCCCGGGCCTCGGGGGCCGGGGGTTGCAGCACCCAGGGCCCGGCCAAGCAGGCATCATTTGGGAGCGGCTGCTGCCGGCCCGTGCCGCGCGCCTTGGCCAGGGTGCTCTTGGCTCAGGGGGCACGGCTGCTGCCTCCGCCCCGTGCACACGCGCCTGCGAGCGAGCCCCGCGGGACGGCAAGGGACCGATCCAGAGAAGCACGACGGAGCGGCCGGGCTCGGCGGCGGCGGGGGTGGGGGCGCAGAGAGGCTTCGCTGCCTGTCTGCGTGAGTTTGGCGGCCGTTTTGGCAACTCGGGGACTCGGTCCCGCCGCCCCCCCCTCCTGCTCCGCACGCTGGACGTCTGCGGGGCGCGCCAGGCTTGGCCCTCTGCTCGCCGCGCCTCTGCCTGGACGCTCGGGGCCCCTGCCCTGCGGAGGCCTTGGGGTGCCCGCCCCGGGGCCCCGGGCGTAGCGTGGCCCCCCCACCCCCCCGTTCATCTACTAACCGCCGTGCCGAGGCTAGGAGGTTTCAGCCCGAGGCCCAGCGCTGCGCAGGCTGGAGGGAGGCCTGTGCACCTCCTGCCCCCGGGGCCAGGAGGGGAGACCGGGACCCTGCAGCCCCTCCCCCCGACTGCCCCGCCGAGCTGTCCCGCTGGCGTCGCAGGCGAGCTGAGAGGCGCAGGCGGCCGGAGGCAGCGACGGGGCTGCTGTGGCGGGGGTGCCCGGAGGGCAGGCGGGGGCAAGAGGCGCGGGCATTGGCAGGGAGGCGGGGGGGTGGTGAGCAGGGCTGGGAACACGCTGCCCTGGCCCCGCAGGCTGCCCGGAGGTTGGCGAGGTTGCCTCGATTCCCTCCGCCATTGCTTCTCCATTCTAGCCCCACAACAGCCCTGTGGGGCAGGTGAGGCAGAGGGTGGGTAAGTGACTGGCCTCAGTTGGCTGCAGCTTCTCTGCTGAGAGGGGTCTGATCCCGGATCTCACAAGCCTGGGGCAAACCACTGGCTTGCTTTTGCCCACGTAATGCTGGTTTCCTTTGACATCTTGGAGGGGAGCGGTGCCGAAAGCCCCCATTTTGGGAACTCGATTAGCAGAGAGGTGGCTTCTAAGGCCTCTGCAGCAACACGTGAGGTGGAGAAGGGGAGGAGGCCCCGTGGAAGGCCACGGGGAGCCCTGCGGCCGTGGGAGGCTTCAGAGCGAGGGGGAAGGCCTGTTCTGGGCGCCCAAGAGAGGCCCCAGGCGGCGACTCTGGCCGTTTGATGCCTCTTGCTACCCAGCGGTTCACCTTGGAGATTTCGCGGAAATCTCCCCATCGCAGAGTTTTGGAAGCTACTTTTAAAAAACTTTCTTTTTAATTGTCGCATTTTACACCACATAGGAAAATTGCAGCAAAAGGGAAAAATCCCTTCCTTGGCAGAGATTACAAAAGAGACGTGCTTCTTTCTGCCTTACAGACAAAACTGTGACTCTGACCCCTGCTTGGTACTTTTCCGGTGTGGCACCGGCCTTGCCCTGCCTCAGCAAAGCTGTCAGCGCCACAGAGTTTATGAGGTAATTCCCAGCGCTCCGGTGGGTCGGGTCGGGGAGAAGAGGTACTTGGTTGTGACGCTGCTTTTGCCTTCTTTGAAACAGTCTAACACGCCTGCCCCTCCCCGTCAGGAAAACTAACAGTAGAATGGGCACAGTGGGGAGCCTGTCTGGGGCCTTTGCTAATGAAAGTAGAATCCCGCTGTGTCGCCCTCACCTGGGGACGTCAGTCCACCGGGCTGGCAACCCCTGTCCTCTGCCCACAGCCTGCGTCTTCTGCAGCGGTGCAGCACAGAAGCCAAGCGGGGCTCCCTCCCTCTGCCAGGGGACGCGCTCCTGCTCGGTTTCGGGCCGGGCCGGGCCGGGCAGGAGAGCAAAGCCAAGGCCAAAAGAAGGTCGGCCAACCAGACCAGGTTTGCAGCCATTCCAGACAGGGCCTGTTTCTGATTCTGGGCAGCTGCAGAAGCCCTCCAAGGCGGGGATGTGATGAGACCAGGTGCTGGTTTGCGGCCTTCCCCCATTGGGCCCCCACGCCCAAACCCACCGCTCCTGCGGCCTCAGCTGCCTCAGGAGCTTTGCAATCCACTGCCGCACGCTCCCTGCCGCACGAACGAGACCTGCCGAGGGCAAGGCCGCAGATGCGTTGAGACTTGCTGCGGCGGCGTTGCCTCACCAGGCGAGAGCAGGAGAGCGAGGGTGGGTGCCCTCTCCCGCCTGACGCAGCAAGTGCTCTCTCCAGGGAGAACGCTCTGCTCTGGGCCGCCTCCAGTGAGAACCAGGGTGCCAGCCTTGGAGGCGGAAACCATTTGCAGGAAGACAAAGTCAAGGTTCCCAGAGCCAGGAAGCCTCCTCGACTTGCGGGGCCCGTCAGGAGTGTGGCCGAGGGAGCTTCCCCATGTCTCCTCCGCCCAAGCGGCGCTGGGGAGCTGCTCGCTCCAACCACCCTCCTCGAAAACCCTGGGAAGAGTCAGGTTGCTGCCACCACTAAGCATGCCCTGGCGGGACTCAGGCGGCCTCCGTGTCCTCCTGGAAAGGTAACGCCCCTCCGTGCGCACTGCTGACGTTGAGGCCCCGGTTGCCGCTTGCGGGGCTGCGCCTGGGTGGCTATGAGTCCAGCGTGGAGGCTGAGAGCAGTGAGCGCGTGGCCATGGGGACAGGCGTTGCGGCAGGCCCCCCCTCGCGCCGCACAGGGGGGGTTGCAGCCCCCTCGCTCGGGCCTTACCGCGTGCTCTGCGCAGTGGCGGTGGGTGCTGCTGGGAGGCGTGCCTTGGGGCAGGCTCCGCTGAGGCTGGCTCTCCCCTTTGCCAGGAGTAGGAGCACAGGGTGGGGGCACCGACTGGATGGTCAAGATCTGCTCCCACCTCTTGGCCCAGGTGAGGGGGCGACCTGTGCAGAGCCTGCAAATCGGGCTCAGGCAGCCTCTGCTCATGCGTCTTGCTGAGGGCTGGAGAACGAGTGTGGTGGGGGTCTTTTGCATGCCCCCCATTCCAGAAGCACAGCAGAGCAGGACTGCTGCAGCCGTTGGTGACCTGGCCTGAAATAGCTTTTGTGCTGCATTAGGCGAAGGAGGGTTCTGGCTTTGCTGCCAAGTAGCAGGGCGGGAAACACGGCTAGGCGCGGAGGAGCCACGTGTCCGGAGTGCAGGGGGAGAGTCCTGGCTTCCCCTGGGCTTTGGCATCGGTCACCATGAGGACGGGCAGCAGGCATGAGTGCAGGATCCGGCCGGGCGTGCTCAGGAGACCCTGTCCTTTGCTACAGAAGCGTGCCACTGGTGGGAGGGACGTACGTGCATCTGGGGGTGGCAGGCAGGGCCTGCGCGCATACGTGTGTGGGGGGCCCTCCCTGCCACATGTCCTGGAGCATTTGAGAACGCACGTCTGCCTCCTCCCACCTGGTGTGCTCGCTGAAGGAATCGTGCGCGCACCTGTGTGTGAATGGCTCCGAACGCACAGCAAACCACGAGCTTCCTGGAAGAGGGGGGCTTCCTGCAGGCAGGACGCAGCCACGGCTCTCTTTGGAGCTGAGGCTCAGCTGGCATGTGCACTCCGTGTGTCCGCCTCGTTCCCCGGCCCCTTCCCCTCCCTGCTTCTCCTTTCTTGTCTTGTCCATGCCAAATTTAGATGGGAAGCTCCTTGGGGCAGGGAACAGTCATTTTTCTGTTCTGTAAAGCACAGGGCAGGTTGATGGGGCTGTATGAAGAAATGGGCTGGATGTCGGCTCGCGTGCAAATGACACAGGACTCAAAGGGAGGATGCCAGACATGCTCTGGAGCTGCTCAGGCTTTCCCGGGAATGGGCCCCTGGCCCTTGGCCCCTGCAAAGGCTGCCTCTGAGCTTGTGGCGCTGCTCCTTGTGGTCCAGGAAGCAGGAAATGCATTTTGCCTGAGAGGTGCTTCCCAGTATCCTTGAGGAGGCAGCAAAACCGCAACAGCAGAACCCGCTCTGGACCCAGTGGCATCCCATAATTGCCGCCCAGTTGAAAGTTATGCAAGCCCCCTCAGGCTTGGGCTTTACCCCAGACATGGGGCTGACTCGGCCTCAGCCACCCTGGTGGATGTGCTTTCTTGGGGAAATGTGTCCCTGGTCATCCTGCTTTCCCTCTCATGGGGCTTCGATCCCATCGTCCACGGCATTTTCCTGGATGGGCTCTGCTGGCACAGCCTGGGAGGCCTTGTGTTCCATCCACTGGGTGTCAAGGAGCAGCACTGGGTGCCGGTTCCACAGATCCCTGGCCACGGAGCCATGGCGCTCTGCAGCAAGTTCCCTTGTCCCTCGTCGTGCCTGCTCGCGTCCACTGGAAGTGTTGCTGGCAGGATTTGAAGCTGTGGCCACCGGGACGCTGCTGGTGCGCAGCTCTGCCTCCCTGTGATCCTTGCCTGTGATCCTGTGATCCTCCACACTTGGGGGTGGGCTCGATGAGGCCCTTGCACTGAAGCTGAATCCTGGCGAATGAAAGCCCCATGTGTGTTTTCTGGGGTTTGACTCAGCGCCCGTTCCAGGTGGTTTGCAGTGCCCCTCGTAGCCTGGGGTGGCCCCCGGGTCTCTTGCTGTCGCTGTTGCCCCAAGAGATTGCAACTGCTCCAGGTGCCTTTGACCACCTCCACCTGGTTCAGCCCCCGCGGCCTTTCCTGGGCAGGGATAACTCAGCCCCACGCTGCGGGGGGCTGCCCAAAGGCCGCCTCGGAAGCCGGTGTGAGCGCAAGATGCAGCGGCTCGGCTGCAGGCAGGAGCTGCCCTCACTACCCTCTCGCTGCAGGGCTTGGTTTAAGATTTTAGCACTGCAGTGCAAAGCCCTGAACGATCTGGAACCAGGAAGCCTGAGAGAGCGCCCTTCCCTTTCTGCCTGGTCACTGAGGTCTTCTGAGGACTTGCTTCCAGGGCCTGACAAGGGCCGTCAGAAGAGACAGTGTGGATTTGCTTCGGGGTCATCGTCTTCTCGCGTGTAGGAGGCTCATTTTCCCTCCCCTTTGAATTCGGATTGGGTCCTCTCTGATCAGTGTCATTTGGAAGGGCCAGCTGCAGGCGCGTCTGCCACCCCACCTACTGCTGGACACCCCTCAGAAGTTTCACATTTTCTGTTGGCTGTTGAGTCATTTTGTTATGACAAAACAGATGGCCAGAAACACTGGGAAGTTGAGCAGCCATCTGCCCCCACGGCAAGCTGCTTCAGCCTGGACCATCCGGGGTTGCCAAATGAGGTATTTATTTATTTAAAACATTTCTATGCCGCCCCATCGCAATAAGCCTCGGGGCGGCTCACAACATCAAAAAATTTACCATGTAGTAAAACCCCAATACAATAAAACCCCAGTGCCATAAAACCTCAATAAAACCTCGGTGCATTCTCGGCTAAAAATTTAAAGAAAAAAAAAACCCTAGTTAAATAAATTAACAATTAAAATAAGTTTTAAATAAAAAGGTCTTAGCCTGGCGCTGAAAAACAAATAACGACGGCGCCAGGCGGACCTCTCTGGAGAGCGCATTTCATAAATGGGGCGCCACCGCTGAGAAAGCCCTCCTCCGGGTACTCACCCTCCTGATGTCATTCACAGATGGTTCCCGGAGAAGGGCATCTGCTGCTGACCTCAAGGGGCGGGAGGGCATATATGGGAGCAAGCGTTCCTTTAAGTATCCAGGTTCCAAGCCGTTTAGGGCTTTATAGGTCATAACCAACACCTTGAATCGGGCCTGGACTTCAATCGGGAGCCAGTGGAGCTGACGGAGAACTGGGGTTATATGAGAACAACGCCCAGTCCCCGTCAGCAACCTGGCAGCTCTGTTTTGCACCAATTGAAGTATCCGGACCGTCTTCAAGGGTAGCCCCACGTAGAGTGCGTTGCAGAAATCTAATCGGGAAGTTACCAGTGCGTGTGTCACAGTCGCCAGGCAGTCATTCTCTAGGAAGGGACGCAGCTGATGGATCAGCTGAAGCTGAAGGAAGGCGCTCCTCGCCACCGCCGTCACCTGGGCTTCCAGAGACAGCTCCGGGTCGAGGAGTACTCCTAAGCTGCGGACCTTGTCCCTCAGAGGGAGTGCAACCCCATTTAGGACAAGGCCAAGTCCTCCATCCCAAGGTCCGAGCCGCCCACCAACAGGACCTCCATCTTGTCTGGATTGAGCTTCAGTTTATCGGCCTTTGATTGAGGTACAGACTGGCCAGGTGGCCCTGTGGCTCTGCACTTCCTTGCTTTGAGCGAAGGTCCGCTGCGATGTTGTGGAATGGGGGCAGCAGCCTTGGAGTGAGGGTCCTCTGGCGTGTCCAGGGCACAGTGCACGCCCGCCCCGTTGTGCCCCCAGCCCTTTTCTTCAGGACTCTTTCTCCAGCAGCCTCTCCCCACACTCACACCTTGCAGCTGCTGGGCACGGACCCCCAGCGCTCTGGGCTTGGAGCAGCTGGCAGAAGTGGCACCCCCAGCCCCTCCTCCGCACACAGAGTGGCACTGGGTGGCTCGCACCGCCATGCCCAGCCTTGGGGGAGGAAAGCCAAGCCCCGGCAAAGCAGCTGGGCCAGCAGCCGGCGTGCCGCATGCAGCTCTCTCAGAACAGTCCTTGCGACGTGGCCAGTGGTCTGCTGGAGGGAGCCGGCTGGAGGGCCCACCTTCTGCACTTACAGCTCTGGACAAAAAGAACGGCCTCCCTCCAGGCTTGGACCGCATGGAAGATAACAGATTATTCACAGGGCAGCTGAGCCCACACGACCCCAAGCGCTGGCTGCCCCTCACATGTTTGTCCTGCCTCAGCCTGGGCTTGGTGCTCCCTCGGGATTTTGGTGAGCATCAGCACAGTTGCACCCAGCTGGCTCATTAACCTGGAGAGGGTCTGTAGGAATCTTCTCCGTGGTCTAAGACCACCCTGGGGAACCCAGAACTGGCCCTGCTGTGGCTGCAGGGCCAGGAGTCCTTGGAGGCCTCAGGTGGCTCCTGGGGGTGGGGAGCCCCACAGGGGAGAGGTGGTCCTGGAGAGAGAGTGCCTTTCTGTGTGCCTTCGCTGCTGCCTGAGCCAATAACACCGATGGTGCGATGGGGAAGGGGGGGACCTCTGGCTGCCACCTTGGGTTTGCCCAGGGAGTGTGGATTGTGGAAGGACCGCCAGTCACTGGGAGGCTGCTCCCAGGCTCCTCTGAGGGTGCGGCAGCCGCAGAAGGGGCTGCACGTGAGGACCCCCTTTTGTCCACCTGCCTTTTTGTGTGGATTTCCTTTTTTTGTGAGTTCTTTGGGGTTTCCCAAGGTATTTCGGAAGACAGTTCCCATGCAGATCCTTTGAAGCTTCCCAGGTCCATTGTTGGTCTTTCTTTGGAGTTTCTCTGTGGTTTCCAAGAATGTAAGAAAAGCCCCGCTGGATCAGACCAGAGGTCCCTCCAGTCCGCACTCCATCCACATGGGGGCAGACCTGCTTGACTTCTCTGTCCTGCCCCCTGCAACTTCTAGATCCGGCGGCCCCGGGGCAGCCTGGCAGCTGGTTGTGACTAGCTAAATTGACTGGGCGCCTAAGAGGGGGAGGCAGCCGGGAGACGAGCAGCGGGTCAGGGTGTCCGGCAGGTGCTCCCCCTTCAGCTGCGTGTGCCAAGCATCCCGTGTCCCCCCGAGGAACTGGACCGGGTTCTGCAGCAGCGGGTGCGTGGCACTGAGCCGCGTGCTAGCTTCTCGTGGAAGTTAAACCACAAATCGCACTTCCAGCTCGAATGCACCACAGATAAGGGTGCATGCAGTACTTAACCACCTGCGTTTATTTGCCATGTTCTGTTGACACCCACATCCAAGAATGCAGCTCGGGACAGAGATGCGCAAGCACGAGGTCGAATTCCTAGCAGCACGCCTGCCCTGGAAAGGGGGAACTTGTTTGCGCATTGGCTGGACGGCCTCTGCTCGGCGGCTCTGCATGCGCCCTGCGTCGGCCGTGGGGGGTGCGCATCAGCCTCGCTGCCTTTCGCGCCCCTTCCAGGCTGTGATCCCAGGCCGTGGCGATCCTCACGTGCATAGTGCCCCGTGCAGCACTCGGAGGCAGCAAATGGCGTCGGGAAGGCCATTCATGCCAGTGCCACTTTGGAAGTGAGGCGGGGTGAGTTCAGCCCCCAGTCCGGAAAGGAATCCTGATACGGGCAGTTTCTGTTTCTGTTCCTCCACGCCTGCTGGCCTGATCTCTGCCTGCCCCAAGTCATGTGAATGTGCTTGGCAGGCAGGCTGCAGCCAGCCAGGAAGCGGAATGACTTGCCTCTGGCTGGCCCTGATCAGCCTGTCATCCATCTGTCAGCCCCTTGTCACCCAGCGGCCTCTCCTCTCGGTAACACGCAACACCCAAATGAGGGAGCAGGACAGCTGGTTTAGCTTGTCAAGGGGTGGGGGGAGGTTAATTTGCATTTCTTGCAACCAGTGTTACTTCCATTTGCATGCAGGGAGCTGTTGTTTTTCAGAAACCATTACACAGAAAAAGGAGAGCTGTTACACAGGTTGAAGGAAACATCAAGTATGAAGGAGAGCAAACCATAAACAGAACGGTTTGTCCACCTGTTACCTGAATGTGTGAAATGCCTGCACATTTCCGGCGAAGTCCTGGCTGCAAGTCCATGCGTGCCGTTGGAGCAGCAGGACGGGGAGTTGGGCTTGATGGGGTCTCTAGCAGGCTCAGGGGGCTGGATCCTGGGTTTGACCTGCTCCCGCAGGCTAGTGGGGACCTAACCCTTTACAGACCCAGCCAAGATCAGGGACTGTCCCTGCGAGCAAACTGCAGCCCGCTCACGCTCCTGCCCCCCGTCCATTTTGGTCCTCCGTTGCTGCCACCACCGGAGTTTGCAGGCCCGGGTCAGTTTAGGGCCATTCCAGGGCCATTCCGAGGCCTTTTAAGATGAGTTTGTGCATAAAGGCTGGGCGTGTGACTCGCAGCTGCACAGGCAAAATATAATGAGCTGCAGGGCCAAGGCTGAGCTGCATGTAATTCCTTGCTGTCAATTAACTCAATTTGAGTAGCTTTAATGACTGTGGCAGGTGCCAAGCAAGAGTTGCCGGGCAAGTTGCTGCTCCCGCCTGCCGTGGAGCGGAGCAGTCTGGGTGCTGTGCAGGGTTGCCCTGGGCCCTGCCAGTGCCTGGGCTGCCTGCTGCATGGGGGGCTCCGTGGAATGCTTCGGAATGGTCTCCGGGACTCTGGGCATCAAGCCCACCCTGGGGAGCCCCCCCGCAAGCAACGGTCAGTTCACACAGCAAATGGCATGTGCGTCTGTGTTGAGCGCAGAGCATCGGGGGGGGGGGCTGCTGCTTGAGGATGGTGGTGCCCCCTCACTTTAACTGCCCCCAACCACCAAATCCTCCCTGCTGATTGTCTTATGTTTCATGTAATGTTTCATTGTCTTACATATGAGTTCCTTTTTTAAAAAATCCAGAAGCACTTTACGACAAATGATAAAACAGATACCTTTACAAAAGCACAACAACATCCAGGCAAGGTGACAGCTGGGAAAAGACGGGCCAGGCTGGTGCACTGGTAGTCGTTTCCCAAGGTGCGTGGACCCACGTGGTCCCTGGTGCCTGAGCGGAGGCCGCTCCCTTTCAAGCAGGGAGTTGCTGGCAGTGCCGACCGTGGGGGGCCGTGACCGTCCTCGCGGGATCTTGGCCAGTGATGTCCCGCTGCCGCCAGCCGCGCATCTTTCCGGAGCCGTGGCCGGGGCAGCTCTCGCCGGTGCCTCGCTCCGCCTTCCGCTTTCCACACGGTGTGAACATGGAGGGCCCAAGTCCGCCTTTTCCTTCCTGCTTCGTCTGTGTGACCGCAAGCAGAAGTGGGGCAGCAGCATGGAGGTGCCCTCCATGTGAAGCTGGATCTTCCCGTTTGCCAGCCCACTTCCGTTGCAGGCGAGCAGTCTTACCAGGTTGCCACAGGCGCTGTCTCCTCAGTGACGTCCCTTTCCTTTGCCCCCTTGTCTGGCAGCTGTCGCCCCAAGCGCGCTCCTGGCCGTCGGAACCCGCACAGCCCGCCCCCGCCGCCGCGCAGCCATGAGGCCGGCCTGGGCCTCCCACCTCACTGGGCGCCTCCTGATGCTGGCTGTCACTCTGGCCACGGACCCGGTGCCAAGGATAACCTTCCAGAGAGGTAGGTGACCAGCGAGTTAGGCACAGTGGGGCGGGGGGGACCCAAGCGAGGTCTGGGCCGAGGAAGGGCCCCGGGCTCTAGCCTGTGGACCCGCTGCTGCAGCGGGTGCTTGGAGACGGGCTGCGTGAGTGGAGGGTCCTGTTCGAGGTGCCGCTCCGCTTTGGCTTCCCGGGGAGCAACCAGGCAGCAGCGCAGGGGTGGGCGAGGCGAGGCTGCCCGTGTCGAAGCGACTTTGTTCGCAGTCAGCTGCTGTCAATGAAAAAGCACCAGGAAAGGGGGAAGTGGGAGAAGCAGCTGCTCTAAAGGAGAGGGTGGCGGGATGGCCCCCCCGGTAATCCCACGGAGTGCCGACCAGGCAATTCTCCGTGCCCACCACCATGTTCGCACATCCACAAGTCCCTCGAAAGGGGGCTTATGACTGCCCAGCTCGGGGGAACTCCGAGGGTTAGGGTGCTTTCTGCCCGCCTGCCTGGGAAGGCGACAGAGTGGGCCAGAGTGAAGGGAACCACCTCGCGGGTGTCCCTTTTGCTCCATCCTCTTCTGCCACTTTGAGACCATGAAGGCACCTGTGTCCATTTCTGGGGACACGGCTCTGTGTGAAAGCAGGTGACCCAGGACGGGCGCTCCAGGTGTTTGGGCCCTGGCAAAGGGGCTGCCCCTGATGGCAGCTCCGGCAAGTGGGTGGAGAGCCACAATCGGGTTTTGATGCTCTTGGAGGTCCCTGAGGAACAATCAGCCTTCCAGGCTCAGATGTCCTGGCAGCCCGATCCCGGCTGTGGATCCAGGAACCCCTCGCACAAGCCCGGGGCTGTCAGGGTGGCCCTTGCGCCTGGATAAGTCACCCTGTGTGAAGCAGTCTGCATTCAGAAGACGCAGGGGCCCAATGCGGAGAGTTCCCTGCTGTGGGTCGCAGAGTCAGAGGAGCCCATGGAGCAGGCCGTGGCAGGAGTCTGGTGTCACGCAAATGCAGGACATGCAGGGGCAAAGCTCTCCCTTCCCAGGGGTATCTAGCCAGCTCCCGGGAGCAGCGCCCAGACCGGCAGATTCCTCCAGGTCCCCACTGGAGTCGCCCCGTCCTGCCATGGCTCCACTCCTCTGGCGCTGGCCTGACAGGGACCTGAATGCTTTGGATCCAGTGCCCTGAACCCGGCCGGCACTCGTGGCCCAAACCCAGCCATGTGGCCAGGAGACAGCAGGAACGCTCAGCAGAAACCCGGTCCGCGTGTGCTTGGCCTGTTACAAGGGATGCGCGCACATGGGGTGTGCGTGAGAGTGCTGCTGGGGTGGCCGAGAATCTGCAGAGGATCGCGCCTGCCTGCCCAGGGGGTGTCTGTGCACATCTAGGAGACCCACAAAGCAGTGCCCCACCTGCCTGCGTGCGCTGCAGCCCTGCTCACAGTCGCCAAGCGCAGGGGCCAAGAAGGCTGAGCACGCACAGCGCCCCCTGCTCCGGGCACGGCCGCCGAGAGCGGCACCCTGTGCGCCCACCCATCCGGCTGCAGGGTGGCTGACGGCAGGCACAGGTCGGCGACGCATGGCAGAGAGCAAGTTGCTGCTGTGCAGCTCAGCCTCTTGCTGTTGCAGCCGCACGGCAGCATTTCCCAAGCGGTAGCTCCTATCATCCCCAGCCTGCCTGGGGAAGGCTGCACGCTCATGCATGAGCGGCCCCTGTGGGCAGAGCAGCCTTCCTCTCTGCTCCTTGTCTTCTGCACTTTGGCACGAAAGGGTGTGGTGTCGGGGTTGCTCTGCGAGCGCTCTCATCCCTGGCTGAACACGGCGCTCGTGCCTGTGAGCATTGGTGGTGCCCTTTCTGTCAACCCCGAACCGAGTCTGCCAGGTCAAAGCGGCATCTTCCAGCAGTAATTATTCTGGCATCTGTGTTGTCACAGAGAAAGCAAACAGCAGCTGCCCCTCCAGCAGGAGCTGCCTCCCATGCCTCCCTTCCGTCATTTGTGCTTCGGAGGGGCAGTGGTAGGAAGGAAGGATGAGAAACCTGTCAGGTTTGCATTTTAATGGGAGGTCCCCCGATTCATCCTCCCAGAACCCAAACACATTCAGCAGTGGGAGAAATGCACGTTTCCAGGTTTGCACCCCTGAGCTTCCAACAGCACAAGCACATTTGAACATTGTGCAAGAAAGAAAATGTACGGTTCGGAAAGGTGAACCAATGCGTCTTCACCAGTGGGCGCACACACGGTTACAAAAAGCATCCACGTGAAAAACAGAACACACAAAATATGGATTTCTGTGCTGCGGTTTCCATAGCACCCTGGGATCACTCCCTCACCTGATGCCAGGTGGGCCGAGAAGCATAGTGGGGCGGGGAGGGTCCTCCCGAAGCTGTCCCTTCACCGCAGAGGCCCTTGGCAAGCTGGGAGACCCGAGCTTCACGCGATCCAACACTCTTGCCTCCCCCACAGAAGCCCAGGGCAGTGGCGCAAGGCTTGGTGCTGCGGTTGTGGGAGAAGGGCAGAGCCCCCCACTATTTCAGGTTGCTTAAAAATAGACCTGGAAGCTGTGCGAGCGTGCAGGTTTCCAAAATAAAATGCATGGCGCGACCATTCAGGGTGGTGCAGGTCTGCAGCGCAGAGCAGAGCCAGAGAGAAATGGCCAAAGAAAGTCACCGACCTCTGGCTGCGCGCAGGACCAGGTCAGCTCCGCAGGGAGGGCGTGCCTCCCCAGTCCACCTCCTTGGAGTGCCTTCCTTAGCAATCGACCCTTCTCGGGTCCCTTCTTTCCTCTGATCCCCCCCCCCCCCGGTCCCCGCTCCACCTCGCCACACCTGGCTCCTCCCCAGCCCTCCGGAGGAGATGGGCAGCCCAAGCCACACGCGCAGGCAGCGGCAGGGCCTGTCCTGGAGGAGCTGGGGCAGGTGGAGGTGTGCCAAAGCGAGGCCCACCGCGGTGAGGCCGTGCTCCAGCCAGCGCCATTTTGGCCCCTGGTGAAAACACTCGCAACTCAGTGGAGCACCAGAACTGCCCTCACCAAGGAGGCCAAAAAGGTGGTCCTGGAAAAAGTGACCACCGAGAGAGCAGCAGGTGTGTGTGTGGGGGGGGGGCACCGCCCAAGTGGGCTGGGCTTTTTAGAGGGTCTGATGGAGGGTCCGATCCAGTGGCAACAGCTGGGCCCTGGCCAGCTGTGGCTTGGGCCGAGCATCTCATTGCCAGGGAGGGCCGGGCAGAGCAGCCTTCAGGGTGAATGCGTGCGAGGGCCGGGCAGGGGGCCCACCTCTGCTCCAGGCGGGGAGTGCATTGATGGGGCAGGCAGGCAGAGGAAGACCAGGCTGCCTGGAGGAAGCCCAGACAGCCCCCCCCCTGCCCCCCGCTCCTCGTCTTGCCTTCCAGTGTGCTGCACCCTGCCATGCAGAAACCCCCGGCGGCTTGTTCCCTTCAGCTGAAGGAACCTGTGGCTTCCCCCCAGGGCCACCACTTCCCCTCCAGACGGTGCTTAGCCCTCTCGACCAGACTGCTTGGGGCGCCAGGTCTTCTCCGCACTGCGTCTCGCTACTTCCTCGACCAAACCACCCTTTCCGCAGAGGAGGGGAACGACAAACGACAAACAGAGACCAGGCAAACGTTTCTGCTCAACAGACAGATTTCTGCAGCAGCATCCACCTCATGGAGCTGGCGCCTCAGTGGATGGGGCACGCCAGCCCCGCAGTGCGCTGGCAGCCAGAGGGCAAGCTTCAGCTGCAGGCCTGTCCCAGCCAGCCTCTGCCTAGCCCCGGTCCCAGCCGTCCGGCACACCACAGGCCTCGCTGCTGGGGCCCTTCACACACGGAGCGTGTGCAACTGCTCACAGGCTGAGGCACCGGCACAGCAGGGCTCTGGGCGCCACCCAGGATGCCTTCAAAGCCCCCCCCCCCCCCCCCCCTACTGGGGGGGAAGCCCCTCCGCAGATGCCCATCCCCGCCAGCCACAGGGCGAACGGGCTGCCAGGGCTGGGCCTTGGGAGGGTGCGGCTGCTCTGGCCCCCTGCTTGGTGGCTTCCCCCTGGCATCCAGGTGGCCACAAAATGCAGGACTGAGGAGGCCGCTGGTCTGTCTGTCTGGCCTTAAAAATGGCCGGGGAGCACTGCAAGGCCACAACCATTCGCAGCTTAGAAACAGCGCGCATCAGAAGGGGCCTCCCGGGCCGTCTAGCCTGACCCCCGGCTCCAGCCAGCCCCGCTCACCACGTGCCCGCCATGTGCATGTCCAGCCTATCTTTGAACACCCTTCAAAGCTTCCTTCCTGTCTTCGCTCGCTCGCTCGCTCGTGCAAACACTGCTCAATTTTCCTAAGCCTTATGCAACGAACACCAGGAAGGGCCCTTGTCCCGGCAAGCTGGCAATCAAAGAGAAAGGAGAGACGCAAAAGAAAGTGGGTGTGGAGGGCGCCTCTGATGCCGCTCTGTAGGGTTACGGAGGACAGCCGGGAGCAGATTTGCGGGTGCTGTCGAGGGGCGTTGCCATGCAGCCTCTTGCCGCCCTGGAAGCTCCTGCAGGTGATGCTTGCGCCTGGCTTGGCGCCTCTGCGCCCTCCGGCCGCTGGGCACGCTGTTCAGCATCGGAGCTGGGCACGTGCTTTGCCTCCGCCCTGTGCCTGGAAGCCCAGCTCTGCTGCCGCTGCCCCTCGTGGCGCGCTCCCACGGGTCGCCTGCATGCCGGCCGGCCAGGTGGGGGCACCGGGGGCCGCAGGGTCACTGCAGGGCACCTCCTCCCCCCGGGCTGTGCTGGCTCCCCTGGTCAGCCGTGGAGGAGCGGCTTGCCCCGTGTGGCTCTAGGTGGGGAGCGGGCAGGAGGGGCAGCCCTCACTACCAGGCAGGCAACAGCTGCTCCTGGGCTCTTCAGGGCCCATTGATATGGGGGGCCACATACCAAGGTCCCCTGAGACCTGAGGCGGCTGGGGTGGGGGCGCTGTGTGAGGCCCCTGTGGCAGGAGTTCTGCGTCTGTCCCGTCTCGGTCCCCAGCGTCACCTCAGGTCCTGCTGTGTGTCCCTCCCGTCCATGGGAACAAGGGCCAGGGCTGTTTCTCCGGCAGTGCCCCAACTCTGGCACTTGCTTCCCGGGGTTGGTGAGCAGCGGAGTCGCCCCTTGGCTTTGCTTCCTGGGTTGATTAATGAGTTGCTTCCGTTCCCAATGGTGTTGCTTTTTAGCTTTTGGTGTATTTTGAAGTTCCGTGGGTTGTGGTGTTTCCAAGTGTTTGTCGTGTGCACTGCCTTGAGAGCCTCTGACCAAGAACCATGTAGAAATGCTTTCGATATGAAATGGATAAATACAGTAGCATATGCATACGCTTTCGGTGAAGGCATGTTTCTGCTCAGAGGGGAACGGAGTGAGGGATGGATAGCAGGAAGCAGACAAGTGTTCCGGCTGAATGCCCTGCAGATTTCCTGCTGATTACAGGAAATTGATGCTTCCCAGGACATGCCACTTCGAAAGGGGCTGCCTAGTTTGCAAGCCAGGCGTTTTCATCAAGCTGCATTTCCTTCTCTGACAGACTATTAAGTCTCTGGAACATTTTGGGTGATCTAATTTTCTTTCCACCCTCCTGACTTCCCTTCCTGCTTGTGAGATGCTTTGCCCCACCCCCCAATCACTCCCCACCTCGGTGCTCAGCAGCCGGTGGGTGTTGCCCTCGTGCCCAGCGGGGAGACCACCCGCCCACTCCAGGGGCTTCCTCCAGCTGTCCGTTCACCCCTCTACTGCCGGGCCTGGCTGGGAGGCAGCCCCCTCACTCTGCCTGATTTGGCCTGCAGCCTCTTCTTGGCAGCACCAGCGAGGGACAGCATGCTGGAGGCCCCAAGGGTGGCCCCGGGGAGTCCCTGGCCTCGGCAGGTGCCGGCAGCACCGCCTCCAGGCTGGTGGCATGTGTGGGTGTGCTCGGGGCACCGGGCTGCTTGTGCATTGGGCCTAAGCCAGGTCCTCCGCAAACAGTAGACACACTTGGAAGGCAATTGATGATGACGACAACGGCAGCGGCAGCTCTTTCCTTCCCGCCTTAAAATGCACTGAGCGAATGTGACTGGATGAACATGTGGCGAAAGCAAAGCATTTGCGTGTGCGCGCACACATGTGCAGAGGTACAGCAAGCGGATATCCGGATTCAGCCTGCAGGTTGGGGGTGCTGTGGGGGCCAGGCAGAGCGACTCTGCAGCCCTGAGCCCCTCCCCATTCCTGCTTGCGCTCGCCTGAATGGCGTCTTCCAGCCCCTAGCCCAACGCAGCCCCTTTATTTATTTCTTATGTACATGGATATACCACCCTAGCAGCCCGAACCCTCAGCCGGGGCCTCCTGTGCCGGGGCTGGCCCTCCTCAAGCGGGTGCCCTCCAGAAATGCTGTGCTGCGGCTGCCGCGGAGCACCTGGAGGGGGGACTGTGGGAGCCCACGCACTGCGGCCATGCTGGAACATGTGGTCCTGGTTAGCGGCTGGGGTCCTTCCCCTTTCCGGCTCGGCTCGGCTTCCTTCTGACCTTTCCTCCTCAGGGGACTCCAGCCGGATCCTCACCCCATTCAGCAAGGAAGGGGTTCTGAACTATGACACCCTTCTCCTCGGCGAAGATGGGGCAACCCTCTACGTGGGCGCCAGAGATGCAGTCCTTGCCTTCGACATCAGCAGCACGCGGTCGGTCAAGCTGAAGGGTGAGGTGAGTGGGGTGCCGGCAGCCGGGGCCTCTGGGAGTGCCGAGAGCCGTCGGGGAGCCTGAGGAGGAGAGCAGGGCGGCCTGCCCCTTTCCCCCTTTGGTTTGGGGGCGAGGTTGGGCTGCTTGTCAAAAATGGTGCTTGTGTTTCTCCAGGGTGCTGCACATTCTTCCGCGTTTAGCGCGCAGCCCTCCCCAGTATCTAGGGAGACATCGTGTTGGGGAATGCTAAGGTGGGGCAGGTGATCTTGCATGCTCTGACACAGGCCTGGGTGCCAGTGACCACTCCATGCCCCCCACTCCTGGACCCCCGATCATCTACTCAGCAGAGCCAGATGGCAGCAAAGAGCACTTCCAGCATGAAACTGAAAAATGCTTTGCTTCACTTTTTAAAGAAACGGTTCCTTTTTAAAGGACGGCCTGTTGCAGGAAGCTCTTTGCAGTCAGCAGAGATGAGCTTTCACTAGCCCAAAATGCTAATCCCCCCCCCCCCACACACACACACACCGCCACCTCCCCATGCGCCTCTTGCTCCACACACACAATTTCGGAGCAATATTCCTGGATCATAGGTGATACCATGGCATTACTGTGATTACCTTTATAATCTCCTCCTCAATCTTCATCACCATCACCATCATGGTTTGTATACCACCCAATGGTTGACGGCCCTGAGTGGCGCACATCTTCTGCTTGTTCAAATGGCTTCCCAGGGACCTCAAATGGAAGATTCTTAGCACTTCCATTAAGTTGCAATTCTCAGAGGTCTTGGGGTCAGTGATGGGAGGAAGGAACCCTCACAGCCATAAAACGTGAACGGACCTGTAGCGAAGCTTTAGCTTGCAGTTTCACACTGACCGGCATTTCACCAACGACAACCAGGCGCGTGTATCCGCAGCGCCTGCCCTCCATCCAGGGCTTTCCCGGAGCCCCCGGTGCTGTTGCGCTGCACGTCCGGAAGCCTGCGCCCGACCTGCTCCTGCCACCAGGCAAGACCCCTGCAGCGGCGGGGGTGTGTTGGAGGCAGCCTCAGTGCTGCTTTTGCAAAATTTCTACGCCGAAGGATATTTAATGGCCATCTAACCACACGGGGAATGGCGTGACTCAAACGCCACCGTCCGCAAGGATTACTGCCTGCATAGCCAGTGGCGGTGATGGCAGGCGAAACGTGTCAGAAGGGCAGTTTGCCTGCGCACGTGTGCAGTTGCCCTGGAGTGAGGGCGCAGCCGCCCTACCCATTCTAGGAATGTGTGCAGGCAGAGGGCCTCCTTCGGAGGCAAGGCGATTTGCGTGGGTGCGTCGCTCTGCCCCCAGGATCCTGCACGGCCTGCAGAGGCTGCTGGCGAGCCTGGGATGGGGAGCGGCACAAGCCCCCGGTTTCCAAGCGAACGTTGCAGCGAGCTGGCGCCCGTGGGCAACTCGGCTGCAGGTGCAAGGCCCGGAACGTGGCACCAGAATGGCATGAGCTGCCACCCCTGGACGAAAGCAATCCCAGCCCGCTCTGCCCAAGCCCTCCCGACCCCTTGGAAACGGCCGCCAAGGGGCCCCGCCGGGGCCTCTGCAGCCCTCTTGCCCCTCAGGAGTGCGGCCTGGGCCACACGCTGCCTGCGACCGCTCGCTGCCTTAGGGTGGGGTGGCCAGGAACGCGCTTCCCCTCGGTGAGCCCACCAGGTTTCAGCCCCAGCACATGGCGCGATCCCTCTGGGCCTCCCTCAGCCCTTCCTTCCTTGCTGGGAGACCCGCACTCGCGCCCCTCCCCCGCACCGCTTGCCGGCACCTGGATGGGAGGCCCGGGCAGGGCACCCCGTGGCTCGGTCCGGCTGACGCCGGCGCCTTGCTCAGCGTGGGCCCAGCTGGATTCCCCGCACCGGCACCTGAGAGGAAGCACCTGGCCCCGGGCCAGCTCAGCCGGAGCGTTTGCGTTGCCAGTCGGCGCCGAGCGGGAAGCAGCGCGGAGCTCTCCCGCTCTCCAAGGAGAGCCACAAAACTGCTTGCAAAATGGAGGCCTCCCACTGAGGCCTGGGTTGGACTGTGGACTGTAAGATGAGCTGGGATGGACTGTGGATTGCCCTGAGCACCCCCAGGCCGGCTGTGGCAGGTGTGCTGGCGCGTTCTGGCTGGATCGAGACAGGAGGGCAGCTTTTGGAGTGGGAGCGGGAGGGGGAGGTGCCCGCAAGCAGCCGGTTTGTCGCTGCAGCTATGCGCTGCGCATTGTGCCACGACCAGGCCAAGCGGGGCCTTCTCAGAACAGAGGCATGAGAGAGGCCATTCTGGGCTCCCATCCACTCTCTCCCTTCCGTGGCCGGTTCCCGCTGCTTGGCCCTGCCCCTCCTCTGACAGTGTCCGCCTTCCTCTTCCCCGCCCAGATTCCGTGGAGCCCCGTGTCCAGGAAGAAGGAGGAGTGTGCCTTCAAGAAGAACAGCAACGAGGTACCCGTGGGCAGTGCGAGGGAGCCCTGCTCTCCTTCCCTGGGAAGATGCAGTGCAGTTCAAAGCCAGCCAGGGCACGGCCTGAGACGCCCGCCAGAGTGAGCCCAGAGAGCCAGGGCTTGGCTTGCAGCTGCAGTGCCCGGCTGGTGTCGCGAGGCCTGCCGGCCCGGGACGTGCTGGCGCTTGGAGGGGCCCGCGCCGGCCGGGGCCGCGTGGCTCGGCCTGGTCTGCAGCCGCTCCCGGGGGCAGACTGGGGGGCTTGGGCGGGTGGAGGGCCGGCCCTGCCCTGCCCGCAGGGGCCCCGCTGCTGGTCCTGCGCATCAAGGGAAGAGGGCCTCGGGACTCGGGAGCCAGGCGGTGCTGTCCTGGGCTGGGGTGGCTGGCAGCCCACACCTTACGAGGCGGCCTCAGGGGCTCGCCTCGCTGGAGGATGCGTGGGATCGGGGCGGGGGCATCCTTCCCATGCTGAGCTCCTCTTCAGAGAGCATTGCCCAAATCTGGGAAGCCTCGCGAGGCAGTGAGTTTCCTGGTGCGCCTGACCGGCAAGAGCCTGGTCGATGCTGCTCTTCCAAATGGGGCGCTTTGTTCCGGGATGGAGAGGCCTGACTGCACCCGCGCAAGCAGATCCGGGCCCTCGTGCAGCGCCCGCCCAACCTTCGTCCCACTGGCCAGGCATGTCCCCCCTCCCGCTGTCCTGGGGGCCTGTGGGGCTGCCCAGAGGTAGCTTCAGCTGTGCCTTCTTCACCCGTCTGGGGGCTGGGGAGGGACCCTTTCCCTCATTCACACGGTTAGCTGCCATTGAGCGTGCGGCCGGCTGCAGCGCCTCTGTGCCTTGAGGCCGGTGCCTAGGGAGATTCGCTGGCCAAGAGGCCCCCCCAGCGTCCCCCCAGGGCCTCGCAGGCCAGCGCCAGAGCTGCTTGGACGGGCGCTCAGCACAGTGGAGCCGGCACCCGCAGGTACCCCGGAAGCAAGCCTGGATGTCGGCTGAGCCCCCTGTCCACCACTTTCTTCTCCGCAGTCGGAGTGCTTCAACTTCATCCGCATCCTGGTCCAGCTGAACGAGACGCATCTCTACACCTGCGGGACATACGCCTTCAGCCCCACCTGCGCCTACGTGGTGAGCGCCCGGCGGGGCAGGGGAAGGGCCTTCCTCCCCCTCCGGGACGAGGCCAGACTGCGCGGTTCCCGCCCCCTCCCCCAGAGGCCGGTCCCCGGAGGTTGGAGCACCTTCCGAATCTCGACCCCGCCCCTGCTTTGGCCGGCCCCCAACAGAGCACGGCCCCCACGAGCTCCTCCCCAGGGCGTTTGCGCTCAGGCAGAAGGAGGCTCCTTGCCCTGGATTAAACGACCCTTTGCCAAAACGGCCGTCCCGGCCGAGCAGGTGCCTGTTTTGAAAGACTGTTTCGTAGGCAGATTTGTGGATGGAAGGCACCTTCTCAGAAGAGGCTCCGGTGATTTTCTTACACGCTGCTGGGAGCGCTGCTCTTGAAGCGATGCCGGGGCGGCAGGCGTCCTTTGGAACCGGCATTCCTTCCCCTCCCCTCACATGCCGCCCGCACAGGAGCAGTGCTGTTCTGGGAAACAGCCCGCACCCACCCGAGGCACTCCAAGCGAGGCAGGGTGGGGTTTCACCGGCGAAGCCTCGCGTGGATTGGGACCGCAGTGCCGGATGGCACGCCTCCCCCGAGCCTCAGCTCCAGTGTTGGCGCTGCCATCAAGTCCTGGGCCTTGCCTCCAGCCTGCTGCCGCCGCCATGTCGTGGCAGCAGCTCCTTGATGGAAGGGCCTCTCCGGTGGTGGCCCCCCAGTTGCGGAGCACGCTCCCCACTGAGGCCTGCCTGGCACCAACTTTACCGTCGTTTTGGTGCCCTCTAGTCTAGCAGGGCCTGCTGTTGCGCAGGCCTGAGGACTTTTCTTCACGTTATTATAATATTTACTATTTATTAGAAGTACATCCCACTTGTTCCATACAGCGAACTCAAAGCAGCTTGCATTATTCCCCTCCCGCTGCTCTCAGTCTCCTCCCCAGAACAACAACCCCTTTGGGTTCGGATGTTGGCTGGTATAGAAAACAAACCAACCGACCAAGACGCCGGGGGGGGGGGGCCCTGGCTGCCTTCCTCCGCAGCCCGTGCTGAGTGGGGCACGCCAGACAGCGCTTGTCCTCCCCTTTCTCGTCTCGCCAGGACCTGGAGAAGTTCGCCCTGGTGGCCGACGCGCACGGGCAGCCGGTCCTCCTGCCGGGGAAGGGGCTCTGTCCCTTTGACCCTCAGCACCAGAACACCGTGACCTTTGTGGGTGAGTCACTCCTGGAAAGGCCTGGACGGCCGGCGGGGGGCAGGCGGGGGGCGGTCTGGCATGCCGGTGCTTGAACGGCCGGGACGAGCAGGAAGGTGCGCAGCATTCCTCAGAAGGAAAGAAGGGGCCCTTGTGAGGACGGGATCACAGCCGGACCCACACACACGCCCCGCTCTGGAGCCGTGCTCTCTGCCTGTTTGGGAGCCAGGGAGGCATGTGCTCTTGCTTAAAGATTCTCTGGAAAACCACACACCAGTTTCAACCGGTCTGCGCACCGAGATGGACTCTGAATTCCCACCTGGCAGGCACGAGCAGCAGGGCCCTTTGGCAGCGGCTCCCCTTGTGGAACTCTGTTCTGCCGGGCCCCATCGGCCTAAACCTACCCGTTTACCTCGTCCTGTAGGTCAGGACTGAGTTTGGTGCTGCTGTGGTTGTCCGGTTGTAATTTTTAAGATTTATTTTATTGCTGTTTATTCATGTTTTGTCACTTCATGTTTACGGCACCGCCTTGGAAGGGTTTTCCTTAAAAGGCAGCTTATTGATACATACTTTAAATAAATAAATAAGCTATGCTCCTGCAGTGTGTTATCAGCGATTTAATCTGATCTCCCGAAACCCGGCTCCCTCCCGATGCGCTGGCTGCTGGTCCTGCTCTCCTTGTTCTCGCCAGCCTGGCCAGTGGCCCAAAATGCATTGCGGCTGCCCAGTTTGTGCCTTCCCGTCACAGCCATTCCCACTCGGAGAAGGAATGCATGGAGGCCCTGGGGAAGAGGCCAGGCCCTGGGGAAGGAAACCATCGCCAAAGCCACGCTGGGAACCACTTGGCCTTCCAGGGTGGAGGCCAGGCCGCAGCCATGGCATGCCAGGGCTCCAGCGCTCCGGACAAGTGGGGTTGGACCATGTGACACGATCGCCCGTCCTGTCTTCCCACTGCAGATGGCGAACTTTACACAGGCACCATGAACAACTTCCAGGGGAACGAGCCCATCATCTCCCGGACCTTGGGAAGCAGGACCTCCCTGAAGACTGACAGCTTCCTCTCCTGGCTGCACGGTGAGGGCAGGGCGGGGGCACTCTTTGGGCAGGGAGGTGTCTCCGCCACCCCACTGGAAGCCAGTGTCTCCCGGCATCCCTCAGGGCCTGGTCACCCAGACAACTAATATGTTAATTGGCTGGTACCCAGAGAAGAAGCATCTCCTAGGCAACCAGGCTTCCCTTGGGAATTGCCGTCCCCTGGGCCATGAACTGAGGGGCAAAGGGGATCTCATGCCTGGCCTGGCCTCTCTCCACATCTCCTTCGCAGCTGATGCATCATTTGTGGCTTCTTTCAACATCCCAACCCCGCCGGATGATGAAAAGGTCTATTTCTTCTTCGAGGAAACAGCAAAGGAGTTTGACTTCTTTGAGAAATTGACCGTCTCCAGGGTGGCTCGTGTCTGCAAGGTGAGGCGTCTCCAAAGCCAAAGGTGCATTTAACCTGGGTCCGCCTGAGTTTGGCCCTGGAGCAGCTTCTACTGCTCATGTATTGATTTAAGGCATCATTATACCGTTCCTTTAGTCAAATGACTCTGAAGATGGTTTAGAACACATTAAAAGTTTAAAACATAACATACAATGCCAAAATAGATTTAAACAATTCCAAGATAAAACCAATAACAATATCACTTGATGACAATAAAGCCAAGCATAAAATCAAGTGTACAATCCAATAAGATACAAAATTAATTAAATCATAAAACAAGCAAGCACAACGTCATATAAAATAAAAGTAGGGCCAGGGTCAGCCCACCTGCAGGGGACCAGAGTTTGCAGCATGAGCACGAGCGTTGCAGCTGGCCTGCCCCGCCTTTCTCCTGACCAGAACCTTGCATCTTCTCAGGGGAGCGTTTCGGGGCGGATTAGTGAGAGTCTGAAATAAATTTGGAGAGTTCACTGCTGCGAGGTGGGGGTGGCTCTAGCGGAGCAGCTTTTTTGCCCAGCGGCCTCTGCAAGTTCCTTGAGGAGAGGTGGAGTTCAGCCACGAGCGACGCCATGGAACCTGCCCACAAAAACGTGCCCCCACCCTGAGTCCTCATTGCCGAGAACAGTTGTTGCTCTCCCCCTTCAGCCTGAAATGCACCCAGGCCGCTCCCACGTATGCGAAAACAGGCAAAGGACTCACAGGAAAGAGTAAAATAAAAACCAGGCCATGACATTAACTGGATTAATCTGTGACAATCATTAAAGGGGTGAGTCTGCCCATCGCCGCCGCAGCTCCAAGACCTGGGAGCGTCTGCTTTTTAGCTCACTTAATTCAGATGTAAGTTAATTGCATCCGCGGGTGCAGCATCTCCTGCCAGCCCAGAATTTTGCTTCCTGAGCCATTTGAATCCTGGGAGGACAGGGGTGGCTGCTGGATCCCCTCCCCTCGGAGGAAAGGGACCACGGGGTGCCCCACGGCTGGTGTCATGCCCAGGGGTGCCGGCAGACTCAGCGTCGCTCGGTGTGCCCAGCGCCAGCAGCTGCACAGCGTGTCAGTGGGAGGCTGTTCCCACTCAGGCGGGGCTGGGTTTGTTCACGAGGGATGAACAAAAGCGGCACAGGTTGTCACAAAGAAACTACTAAGAGGCGCCAGTCCAGGCCTGCCGATTCCCAGCCACTGCCACTCCCAGTTGCTCCCTCTCCCGCCACCCCTCCCTCGGCAGTGCTCCCCACTTGGAACTTCCCTCCTGGAAGCGAGCGTGCGTGGGGGGGGCAGTGTGAGCAGCAGCTCCAGGGTGAAAGGGCTGAGCCCCCCCCCCCCCCCCCCCCCCGGGGCCCCCGGCCGCCCCCCCCCCCGGGGGGGGGGGGGGGGGGGGGGGGGGGGGGGGGGCACCCCCCCCGGGGGGAAAGGGGGGCCCCCCCCCCCCCCCCCCGCCTCGGAGGGCCGGGCTCGCCACCCCTGCGGAGAGGGGAAGCAGCGGAGGAGGCCGCTCTGTCCTGGCCTGCGCATGATGCTCTGCTTTTCCACCTTCCCTAGAATGACGTTGGGGGAGACAAGGTGCTGCAGAGGAAATGGACCACGTTCCTGAAAGCTCAGCTCTCCTGCACGCAGCAGGGGCAGTTTCCTTACGCTGTCATTCGACACGTTTTTGCCCTCCCACAGCCAGGCGGGGGCACAATTTTCTACGGTGTCTTTGCTTCTCAGTGGTAATTCACTTGTTTTTGCTTTACATTATTTGTAGGCCCCCTTTAAGGGTGACCCCCCCCAAGGCAGCAATGGGGATCCCTCAGAGTGGGGAGGGGCTTGGCCCTTGGTCCCGCGGTGAGCGAAGCGGAGGGCAGGGAGAGCGGCTCTTTCAGTCCTCGGGCTCAACGCCGTGCCCCCTCGCTTCGCAGGCAGGCAGGCAGTCGCAGGAGCTCGGCAGTGTGTGCCTTCAGCCTCGACGCCATCCGCAGAGCCTTTGACGGGAAGTACAAAGAGCTGAACAAGGACTGCTTCCGGTGGGTGACGTACGGCGGGCCGGCCATGGAGCCCCGCCCCGGCAGTGTGAGTACCGCGCCCGGGGCCACCGTGGGAGCACCGGGCACCGGCGAGGCTTCCAACAGGCTCCTTCTCCACATTCAGTTTTGGGGCAGGGATGGGTGAATCGGCCTGTTTCTGGCTCAGGAGTCTTTAAGTCCATTCTGCCCAGTTCGTGCATCAGTCTGTGAATGTTTTTAAAAGGAGCTGCATGGAAATTCATACTTGTTTTTCTACCTAGTTTTTGTTAACGGAAGCTGGTGCACACACTGCTGTGCACCGTTTGGCCAGTTTTTGCAGTTCTCGGCTTAAATGCTGCAGACAAACCTGGGGGAGTGCAGAGCCTGAGGGAAAGCTGAGCTCCGAGGCACGTTTTAGTCCAGAAAGGGGCCGATTGGGCCTGTTGGCTTGAAGAGGCCGGTCAGTGGGAATCGTCTCCTCTCTCTTCTGGAGCTCCCGATTGCTTGGTCTTTTTTCCGGAAGGGAAGCTGGTTTACTGGGGGGCATTCCATTCTGTAGGTCTGAACCTGGCCACCACTGCCTTCCATTTCTGCAGTTTATTTGTGCCGCTTCCTCCCTCTTCAGCCGGAAGCTGGCTCGAGGGGGCCCGTGCACCGTGGCAGGCTTTGTTGTGGCACGGTTCGTGGTCTTCCTCGTGCGCAGGCGGAGCCGCAGTGCACCCCAGCGAGATGCCAAGCCTCCAGAGCCCTGGATGCCGCCATCCCGTTGCCCCTGTCGGGATGGCTGTTTACAGGGTGCCGTCTGTGTGGGTTGCTTTAAACTGGATTCCTGTCCCAGCCTGGCAGCCTGAATGGCCCCTTCGGCATCTGTGGTGGCCGGCCTTGCCCACGGGGGATCTGTGGCGGCAGCACAGGGCCAGCCGCCAGGAGGGCGGTGGGTTGCGTGTGCCGCAGTCCTGGAACTGATTCTAGGAAGCATAGAATCCTAGGAGAGCAGAGCCGGGCGGGGCCAGGAAGGCCATCAGGTCCTCCCGCTGCTGGTGCAGGACACCCGTTCGCCCACCCGCTCAGAGGGCTGCCCAGGTGCTTTTTGAAGGTCTCTAGCGTGGCGAACGGCAGCGTAGGGTAAGCATTGCTCTGGACTGAGTAACCCAGGGAAACCGGAGTGGGTCTGGACTGTGGCGCGCGTGTTGTGTGCGTCTGGGGCACGAGCTCCTTATCCCCGCTTTTTGGCCTGGTTGGGGAGCTGGCCCTGTCTTGACCAGTCTGGTGAACATGGCCTGCAGCTGCTCTGCTGGGGGGAGGAAGGGAGGCAGAGGGGGGACCGCGCTGCTGACTGTCCCACCCTGGGGTGGGCAGAAGGGGAGGGCTCTGGCAGACCCCTGGGTGATCAGTCCACACTCAGGTGGCCAGCAGCATTTCTGGCCCCTGGTCACTCAGTGCTGGCCACGGCCAAAGGGCGCGCATGTGGCTGATGGTCTTTTGCTGCCTCTCTTCCAAGCATTCTCACACAGGGAAGATGGGAGAGACTTGGGGAAGAGCTGCCTCCGTGGCCATGCCGTGGCGTTCGGCCTTCTTCCAGCGTCATCTGGGCCTCAGAAGTCAAACTGAGGGGCGGGCGCACTGTAACCCCAGAGCCAAGCAGCATGCTGGCGTGTGGCAGACACGATCCGTGCCGTTTCATGTACTGATGTGGCTCATCTAACTCCCCAGCCTGGTGACTTTTGCGTCTGTCACTGTCTGACAACCTGTCCTGCCTGGCGGGGTGTTGCAAGGATAAAATCGAGAGCAGGAGATGGTGGACGGTGCCTTTGCGAGGGCGGGGGAACGGCTCGGGGTGGCCCTCGTCCGACCTCTGCGCATGGCTCCTCCGGAGGCTGCGGCAGGGCCTGCTTTACACGCAGGCCTGCACCTTTCGGCTTTGCAAAGCGGTGCTGGGATCCTGGCACGGGGGCGTCTCTCCCCTGCTTTGCCTGTGTGAGGGGCATGCTGCCTCCCAGGCAGAACCGGCTGGGAAAACTGAAGGTCCGCCGCCAGTCCACAGGCGGCCCGGAGCTCGGTGGCCAGTCGTCACTGCGTCCTGGGGCGGCTGCTGAGCTGCTCTGACGTCCGGGCCTCTCCCTGCAGTGCTCGGTGGGCCCGTCGTCAGACAAAGCCCTCACCTTCGTCAAGGAGCACTTCCTGATGGACGAGAAGGTCGAGCCGGTCCACAACCAGCCTCTGCTGGTGCAGCACGACGTGCAGTACACCCGGATCGCGGTGCACCGAGCGCGGGGTGTCTCGGGGACCCCCTACGACGTGATGTTCATGGGGACAGGTACAGTTCCGGCCCATTTCCAGAAGCCCCGCCAAGCAAGCCACCTGCCGGCCCGGCTCCTCGGCCCAACGAGGGCGAGCCAGCCAGCTCTGTTCACTTAGGTCAGCTGCACATCCCTCGGCCAGCTAAGCAGTAGGGCAGCTGACCTGTTAAAGGCATCCTGGAGACACTGCATTTATCATGTGAGCACAACTGGGCGCACGTCAGGCTCCCACGCTGAGCATGCAGGGACTGTTCGGAAGCCGCTTGGAGCGCTCCTGCACACGGTGGAGGAACGGGCCGCCTCCTCTTCCCTCCGGTTGCTCGCCTGCATGGAATCAGTCCCCGGAGGCGCATCCTCCCCGCCATGGGGCAGAGGGGTTACAGTAGGCGGAGGAAAGCCCGGCTCTCCTCCCTGCATCTCCTCTTGTGCTTTGAAGTTAGATTGCCCCTCCCTTCTTGTGGGGCAGACCCTCTGCACTTCGCTTCCCACAGACAGGGGCCTCCTCCACAAAGCCGTGGCTGTTGGCAGTGGCGCCCACATCATTGAAGAGATTCGGCTCTTTGAGAAGCCAGAAGCCGTCCGGAACCTGCTGCTCTCCCCTGAAAAGGTGGGCGCCGTGTGCCGGGAAGCCCCTGCAGCCGCCGGAGTTTCGCCGGTGGATTGCTATTTTCATTAAGCCCCCCTTTCTGCTCCAGCAGCCCTCCAGGGTGGCAGCCTCACAAAGGCAATGCAGCACGTCAAAACCGCACACAGGTCCCCGTTGGGTTCCTTGAGTGTTTACGTGGAAACATCTGCAGGCTGATTCAGTCAATTCCCCCTCCAACAGCTGACAGACAACCCGAAGGCAATAGTAAATGCGGGGCAGTAAGACTCGGTATTAGAAGCCGTGGGAAAGTGCCGGGGCAGCAGCATGAGCAAAACGGGCAGGATCTGCGCTCGTGGAAGCCCACCTCCCAGAAACGCTGCTCAGCTTGGGAATGCCAGGCCCTCCTCCTGGCCAGAGGAGCACGGCTGACACGCGAGCTGCGTGCCCTGGGAAGGCCTCGCCCTCGGAGCACGCGGAGCCCCCGGGACGGATCCGGCGCCCGGCCGCTTGTGGCAGGTGGTCCTCTCCCGCAGGCCCCGGGACTGTTTCCCCGGCCAGCCCCCGCGGCACCCTGCCCCCGCGCCCGTCACTGGCACACGGGCGCATTCGTAGCGGCGTTCCCAGCCCCCGATCCTGGCCGGGGCTCATGGGAGCCACGGGCACTCGAGGGGCGACAGCAGCAGGCGGTGCAGGGGCGGCTGGCCAAAGGGCCCCTGCACCAGAGGCCATGCTCCCTGGCAGGGCGCGCGCGTGGCGCTGGCCGGGTGGGGCTGACGCCGCCCGTCTTCCCAGGGGGTGCTCTACGCGGGCTGCTCCGGAGAGGTCCTGCGGGTCCCGCTGGCCAACTGCAGCGTGTACGCGACCTGTGCGGAGTGCGTGCTCGCGCGCGACCCCTACTGCGCCTGGGACTGGCACCGGTGCAGGGACCTCCGGGACGCCGCCGCCGAGGACACGTGAGTGCAGGGGGCCGCCGCGCCCGGGAGCCGCGCCTCCTCGGGGGTGGGGGCGGGGCAAGGCAGAGGGGGCGGGTGCCCCGGGGTGACTGCAGCTCGCGCCGCCTGGCGGAGGTGCATCCGGCCCTCAGAGTGCGGCATGGGGTGCCCAGGACACCCCACAGGAAGGCCGGAAGAAGGAAAGAAGAGAAGGCCTGTCCAGAGGGGGATCGGCTCCACCACCGAAGCTGCAGCCTGGAGCGTGCCGGAGCTGAGCCGGGCCGTCCGGGCCGGGTGCTCCGCGGGGCGTGCCTTCCGAGGGTTGCTGCAACGCGGGGCCCCCTGGAGCACACAGAGCCACCGTGGCCAGGCCAGAGCCCAGGCCGGTCGTACAGCCCTGCACTGTAGGATCGAGGCCGTGGCCCTGCGCCAACACGTCGGAGAGGCGGGCGGGTGGGCGGCACTGAGGCGTGAACGGGCCCCTGGAGGGCTCCCGGGCAGCTGCCATCAGCACTGGGGTCCCTCCGGTGGCTGCTCCCTGCGTAGCTGGAGGAGGTGTTTCCATAGGGGTGCCCCTCCCCTGCCTGGGACCCCCTCACTGCCCTTTCAGAAGCAGAGCAGCTGTGCCTCCTGCCCGGTGCTTTTCCCATCCTTCCGGAGTGCGGCCTCAGGCCACCCCACATTTAAGAGCGCTGCCGACAAGTGTGTGGGGTCGGCCCCTGAGGGCTCCATCCATGCGCCCCTCACAGCTTGGAGCAGTGAGGCCTGCCAGGCGGGGCAGCAAGGGGGCTTCCAGGCTGTGGCTCCCTGTGCGGAGTCCCCCCGTCCCATCTGTGCTCTTCCTTTCCTTCTTCCGCCTTTGGCTTTCCGCAGCAGGATTCTGCCTTTCTGCGAAGTGTCCAGAGTAGGGCAGCCTCAGCTCTGCCACGGTGGCCTCCAGGGAGAGCCCTGGCTCGCTCTGCTCTGGGCCCCCGGCTGCCGTTGGTCTGCCTCGGTGTCCACACAGCTCCCCTTCAGCATCATTTTCTCCCTGTCAGTCCAGCGGGGCGTCCTCAACGCCTCCCACGGCCTTCCTCTTTCTAGGAGCGATTGGCTGCAGGACATCGCCACGGGGAAGCCCAGCTTGGGGTGCCAGCGCAGCAACGGGAAGGCCAGAGTCCTGTCGAGGCCCAGGAGCGACCCGGAGGGCAGCTTGCCCAAAGGTTCGGGGCACGCCTCTGGCGGGCGGCTGATGCGGGGGCTGAGGGGAGAAAAGGCCTCGCTCGGACAGCGCCTTTTCAGCGCAACCGGGCACAGCTCTCTCCAGAGGAGCACGCAGAGAAAGGGCGGGGGGCCGAGTGGCTGCTCTGGCTGGGCCACTTCAGGGAGGGCGGGGGGCTTCCCTCCCGGCAGCAGTGACCTCAGGCGGTGGAGGATCCGGGATTCCTGTCGGGGGAGTGGGGGAAGCGCCACCAGCCTGCTCTGGCCAAACTGGCAGCTGTGCCAGAGGGGCCGAAAGGGAGTCGAGGCAGTGGCCTGCCTGCTGAGCGGCCCCAGTCCTGCCGCCGTGTCTGATGCGTGCGAGCGTCCCGGCCCGGGGCAGCGGGACAAGCCCGTCCCAGGGGGCTCCGGGGGCCTCGGCTGGTGCCTGGGGCCATCTCACCCCCGCAACGCTCTCGCTCGTTGCAGTTCTCAGCGCGCCGCTCAACTCCATCGTGAGGCTGCCCTGCCCCCGGGCCTCGGCCCTGGCCAGCTACTCGTGGAACCCCCCCGAGAAGATGGGGAGGGACGCCGCCGTGCGGGAGGATGGCCAGGCCCTGCTCGTCGTGGTGCAGAAGGACACGCTGGGCACGTACGAGTGCTGGGCCAGCGAGAACGGCTGGCGGCACCGCGTGGCGCACTTCCAGCTCCGCTCGCCCGGCGGCGTGGAGGCCTCACCGATGGGCCAGCGGCACACCTACTGGGTCCAGTTCGTCAGCGTGACGGTGCTGCTCTCGGTGACCCTGGCGGTGGCCGCGGCGGTGGCTTTCTTCTCCTACCACGACAAGCTGAAGGCGAGGAGCAAAGTCCAGGGGTGCAGCACCCCCGAAGCCAGCAAAGCCTCCGGGCAGGAGAAGGCGCTCCTCAGCAGTGGCCTGGGCGCGCCCCAGGGCGACGCCTTCCGGGGTCGGGGTCCTTGCCCGGAGGCGGCCGGCAGCTCCAAAACCTGCTGTGTCCAACTGGATGCGGATTTCCAGGACACGGATGCCGAGAACAACCGCTTGAACTCTGGCCTGGCGAACGGCAGTGACTCCGGGGGGCTGCGGCTGTGAAGGCGGTCAAGGCGGACTGGGCTGGAGCGATGCCTGGAGAGGCAGCCCGGCCAGAGGCTGGGCTAGCCCTGCCGTGGCTCGGCCCCAGACGCTGCCGGGAAACAGAGCTGCCTGCGATGCCAGGGTTCGTCTGCGCGTCTTGTCTGTACATAAGCGGAAGGGAAGGATCCTGACTGTGCGCACCTGCTGTGGCTCTGCTCCCACCTCATCACTGCCTTCACGGGTGGGCACAGAGCCCAGCAGGCCCGTGGCGGCGCCCCCATCCCCCTGCAGATGTCTGTGGAGGAGACGGGCAGGCTGAACCCGGCCCACAGCCGCCTGCCTTGGGGGCTTGGGCAGGGCACACGGTGGGCAGGGAAGGGCCCGGCTGCTTTCCTAGGTCCTGCTCGCCTTCCCACCCTCCTGCTGCGGGCACCTGCCAGGCGATGCCTGCCGCCGCTTGGGCCTCCCTTTCCGGAGACCAGAGCGGAGCGGGGCCGGGCCATTTGGGGCAGCGAGGATGGCGGCGGGGCAGGCTGGCCCGGGAGGCAAGGGGGCAGCAGGCCAGCGCTGCTGCTCAGGCCGCCCTGGGGTGACCGGGCACGGAGCAGGAGGCCCCGCTGGGAGCACGGTCTGGTGTCTCACCCTGCCAGCCTGAAGAAGGGCTGGGCGTGAGGCACCAGAGGCCCTCCCGAATCCTGCGGCGAGCGCCTGCACCTCCCCAGGCAGCGCCTCCCCCACCCCCGCCAGCCCCCACGGCAGGGCTTCTTCACAGAAGGGTCCCTCCCAGCAGGTCCCTGTGCTGCTCTCTGAGCCGCTGCGGTTCTGTGCCCAGGAAAACGGACTCCGGCTTCACGGGCAAGATTTCTTAGGTTTGCTGTTCACGTAATGTGTGGTGGTTTCTCGGGGGTGGAGAGAAACTATGCAAGGGCTGAAGTGCCCCTCACAGCCCACCTCTGCTCTGCATCCCTCCGGCCTGGGAGGGGCTCGCGGGGGCCGGCCCACGCCTGCGCACACCGCCTTCGCCGCCACGCGACCTCCTCCAGCCTGGACGCTGCCCTTGGAGGGCACCAGGCTGCGGAACCCGGGATTAGAAGCCTTCCTTTCGTCCCTGAACGGAGGCTGACATTTGCGGGGGAACTTGCTCCGCACCGCATGCCTGTCCCTGCCTTGCTCCAGGCGCCTGCGCAGGGGGCTGTTCCGGAGTGCCAGGGCAAACTGGCTTCCCTGCCCGCCGAGTAGTTTCCACTGGCATCTTCCCGGTGTGGCCATCTGGCGCCACATGGGGCATGCTGCCGGAGGGCACCAGACGGAGCCCTCCACATAGCCACAACCACCGTCCGGCGCTCTCAGGACCACCCTGCCGGGGCCTGTCCGTATCCTCACCCCACCCCACCCCACCCCCTGTGGCGAAGGGGCCTTCCTCCTGGCTGCTCAGCACGGAGGCTTCTCCGCGATGGGGCTGCCGACTTTCTCGCTCTGTACCAATGGACTGAACTGCCGCCAGCACTGGGCTGAAGGTGCCATTCGGTCGGCCAGGAGCCTCCCCTGCCGCCTCCTCAAAGTCGGGGAGGGGTGGCTCTTGCAGCGGAGCCGCTGCCCTTCCGCGGAAGCGTGTGTCATGACAGTTCTTCCTCTTTCGACTTGTGTTGCTGCTGACCTCTAGCGAACAGAGCGGCAGCCGCTTCCGCCTTCAAAGCTGCCGTGCCCCCAGCCCTGCTCTGGGGTGGGGGGCCCCCTGGAACCCAGTTTTGCCCCAGCCTCGTGCGCTGCAGCCGTGCAGGCCCGCCTGCGTGCGGCGTCCGTCGCTCGTGGATCCATGTCATTCTGTCGTGGTGCAAAGGAGGCAGTATCTGAATTGCAGGCATTCCGGGCCCAGAAGACACGCCCGGACCCGGCCGCTTTGAACTCGGTGGTGCGCTCTGGCCTGCGCAGACCCCGCGGCGGGTGGGGGGCAGGGCCACTCGAGCGCCTCGCGGAGCAGCGCCAGCGCCCGCTCAAGGACGCTTGTATCCGCGTGGTGCGTTTTTCTGCCGACAAGTGTTTGTCTTGCCCTTTTGTCACCCTTCTGGGTGTCTTCTTAAAATATTGTAGCCTTGCGCTTAAATAGGTGTGAAACGGACCCGAGTTGCAAAGACCCGCTGCTGATCGCGAGTAATGCGCAGCCGTCCACGTCCCCTGTGCACGCCGTGTGTGGATGTCTTGCACGCGTGATGTTTGTGACTGTGGTGCAAGGTCAGCGTCTCTCTCAAAGGCATGTCTGTCTGTGTGCATGTGTGTGTGCTTGGGGGGGGGGGGAATCCTAGTGATGCCCAGCTGCAAAGGCTAATTAATTGACTCATTCATTTATGGCTTCAGAATTTACCTGCTGAGTTGAGAAAACGAAGCATTGTGTTTCAAATCAACTGGGGAGTGACCTCACCATTTCCTAGGCTTCTGGCTGTACGTGGGAGGGAAGGGAAGGGATACGGGAAGACCCCTGGCCAAAAGAAGGGCAGCCCTGCCACTCCCTGCCCTCCACAGGCTTCTGCCTCCCCGCAACCCCGTAGGCAAGGCGGTAAGCAGCATGCCTCGGCGGGCGGGTGGGTGGGCGGGCGGGCCGGCCCCCTAACTGTAATGATGCACGCAGATTTCAAAGGTGCAGATATGGGGGTTTAAAAATAGGAAGTGACAATTTCCTCCTCAAACAGGAGCCCCTGTTAGCTGCAGCAAGTGGAGGGATATTTTGACGCTGCCACTGGCAGCAAAGCCGAAGAGCTCGAAAGCTGACATATTACAGGCCAATTTTCAAGTGAGCTGAAAATAGTCTGAATGAGGCCTTGCTGCCTATTTTGAGCTCTTGAGAGGAAAACGTGAAAGCGCGCACACCATGAGCAGTGAACCCTGTTCTCCAACCGAGTGCAAAGCCGAGAAGCTTTTCTCCCGAGCAAACCTCCGGACGCCTCCGACCCCGTGCTGCAGTCAGACACACACACACGGTGGCTTCGGCCTTTTGTTGCTCGTTGTGTTGTTTGTAACCTTTTAAAAAAGATGTAAATCTTCATTGTGTTTATACATACTATTTTTATTAAAAAGTGTGATGCACACGGTGCCAGAAATGGTGAATAATTCCTGTATTATTGCATCTTGGACAGGAGGATCAACCGTCAGAGGCCATTTCTGCCTGTTTCCCCACAAGGCAGTTACACTGTGGTGCATTTTTGTTTTGCACCTGCAGCTTCATACCCAGGAAGATCCTCAGCAGGATTCTGAGGGTTTGACTGTCATTTTCAGAGTTTTAGCTGCCTTCCCCTCTGGATCTCTGGGAAGGACAAGCGAGATCTCTGGTGATGGGCTAGGGCCAAAGGGTGGGGTTCTTGCTCGGCGGGGCCCCCGTATTGACTGGCCTCCGGCTCAGGCCTCCTGTGCCGATCCTCCTGGCGCTGCAGCTCAGGCCCATGGCTCTTTAGGACGCGCAATCCCTTTACCTGTCTCTATATTTTGAACGTGCAGATACACTGCTGGAAAGAAGAGCATGTGTGGACTGATTTATTAAGAAAAGTGTCGTTGTGTGAAAAATCATGCACTGGTTTTAGCCATTTCTGTGTCCGGACGAAAACTGAGCCATGCACAAGCACAGGTGAAATGTAACAATCCTGCTCTTTTCTTGACCAGCTGTGTAGGGATGAAAGTCCCTCAATGCAAGGAATGTTGGATCGGCACCCAAGGCCGCTGCCTCAGTGGGACTGGGTTTCATGGGCACGCCCTTTCCCCCAGGGAACAGTTTGGATCCACAAAGGGCAGCCCCCCCCCCCCCAGTGTGATTCTGGATTCCTTTACAAGTCAATGTGGTATCAAGCCAGCCTTCCACAGCCTCCAGATGAGTTGGACTGCCAGCTCCATCATTCCCAGCAAGCATGTCCCACCAAGTACCACCTGTTGATCTGAGGCTCCACCTCTGAAATTTTGCAGGTACCTGTGGGGGGAGTGTTGGGGAGAACCTCGCATGTGGGGTTTTCCCCAGCACCTTTTGAAGGGTGGTGGAGAAGAGATGCACTTTGCCTGTTTCTTTCACATCTGTTTTACTCCATGAAGTTTCATGCCAAGACTTGAAAACTCATTTTCAGGTTGCTCATTCTTCTTGTCAAATTACAAAACTTTTCATTTGACCAAACAGGAAAGTGCTTGTTTTCCAGCTTTCCATGCAGTGGAGGGAGAGAAATCTTACTTTAGGGAAAGGTTGGCACTGAGAAGGTTGGGCTAGGTGACCCTCGGGTCCCCCTTGCAAGCATTCCCTCTTTAAGAACCAGAGCTGACCCAATCTTCTGGCAGCGTCGCTGCAGCCATCTTTCCTGTGGGCAAAAAGTCATGTTGAGGTCACATCCCACAGAGTGTAGAGTCACACATTCTAAAACTTTGGTGTCTATCTGAAAGCCACCATTGGCTGTAATTTTCCATCATGCTTTCTCTTGGCATTCCTGGAGTGAAAAAACTACAGACATTAAAAATAAATAAAATACAAAAATGCATGCATAAATAAACAGCTGCAGGCTGAAACATGCAGAGTACTTAGCAGAGCTTAATCCTAGGAAGATCACTGCCTTGTCCTGGCGAAGGAGTTTGTGTAGCTCAAGGAAGCTATGAGTTATGCTGTGCAGGGCCCAGCAGAGAGCTCTGACAAAACGTGATCCACCGGAAAAGGAAATGGCAACCCACTCCAGTATCTTTGCCGTGAAAACCCCATGGACAGTACCAAAAGGCAAAAAGATATGACGCCAGAAGATGAGCCCCTCAGGTCGGAAGGTGTCCAATATGCTACTGGGGAAGAGCAGAGGGCTAGTACTAGTAGCGCCAGAAAGAATGAAGAGACTGGGTCAAAGCCGAAAGGACACTCAGTTGCAGATGTATCTGGTGGTGAAAGGAGAGTCCAGTGCTGCAAAGATCTATACTCCATAGGAACCTGGGATGTAAGATCCACGAATCAAGGCAAGCTGGACGTGGTTAAACAAGAGATGACAGGACTGAACATTGACATCTTAGGAATCAATGAACTAAAATGGACAGGAATGGGTGAATTTAATTCAGATGACCATCAGGTATACTACTGTGGGCAAGAATCCCTCAGAAGAAATGGAGTAGCCTTCATAGTCAATAAAAGAGTAGGAAAAGCAGTTGTTGTCAGTCGCGAAGTCGTGTCCGACTCATCACGACCCCATGGACAACATTCCTCCAGGCCTTCCTGTCCTCCACCATCCCCCAGAGTCCACTTAAGCTCACACCAACTGCTTCAGTGACTCCATCCTGCCACCTCATCCTCTGCCATCCCCTTCTTCTTTTGCCATCTATTGTTCCCAGCATTAGGCTCTTCTCCAGGAAGTCCTTCCTTCTCATTAGGTGGCCAAAGTATTTGAGTTTCATCTTCAGGATCTGGCCTTCTAAAGAGCAGTCAGGGTTGGTCTCCTCCAGGACTGACCGGTTTGATCGCCTTGTGAAATTAGACTTGGCTCACGACCAATTTGGGTCACAACCAGAGTCCTGGAACGGTTTAAGTTCGTGAGCCAAGGTACCACTGTATTATTATTTATTAGAAAGCTTTTCTACGCCGTCCTTCACCTTAAGTCCCAGGATGGTGATACAATAAAAGGACAGTATTGTCTGAATTGACACACATCTTTAAAATAGTATCAACACTTAAAATACCAGGCAAATAAAAAGGTGTTGGCCTGCTGCACCCCTCCGGGGAGCATATTCCATAACTGAGGTGCCACTGCAGAGAAGGCCCTTCTTCGGCTAGCCACTCTCCGGATTCTCAGAGAGGGCTCCTGCGGAAGGGCCTCCGACCTAGAGCTCAGGGCGCGGGCAGGCATGTATGGAAGGAGGCGCTCCTTTAGGTGTGTTGCCCTTTGCACAGGCCTAGAAGCGCAGCCCGCGCCTTCGCACGCTTCCCGGGCGGCCTCTCCGCGTCCCGGGCCGCGGCTCCTCCTGCGCCCGCAGCGCCAACGCCGGCAGTGAAGGCCAAAGGAGCTCGGAAGTAGGGATCCTGCCTAGGTCTACCCTGAGCAAGACTAGAGTTATTCCCATCCTCCCCGGGCACTTTCTGATTGGCGTCTGTGCCGCTCTCGTTACCGGAAGTGCTCCTCTATTTCCGCAAGTTCTCTATGGCCTTCCGTGCCCTCTGCGTCGCGTTCGCGTCTTCCCTGTCGTCTTCCATCTTTGACCCTGGCAGCAACGCAAGCGCAGTAGCGCAAGGAGAAGCTGCCGCGGGCTCTCGGGTTGCCAAGAGGTGAGATGGAGGCGGCCGCGCGGGGCTCGAGGGTCGCCCGGTGATTGGCTCAGCCGCACGGCCCGGAGGTGCCGCTGCCCCTTCGCTCGAGCGCCGCGAGGGGAGCGAAGGTGGCCGAAGGTTCGGCCCGGCCCGGCCCGCCCGCCCGCCCGCCGGCTGCCTGCCCACCGGGTCGGAGTCCCGGAGGCCGCGGCGAGAACGGCGCCGCGGGGCCTCGAGGGAGCGAGAGGCGCCCGGCCGCCGCGCAGAGGTGCCCGCCTGAGGGAGGGAGGCTGGGGCGGAGCAGGCAGGGGCTGCGGGATTAGAGGGCTCGCGGAGCGGAAGGGCAGCCCCCGGCGCGGAGGCCCCGGGGCCCCGGACGGGTGCTCTGCGCGGGCCACCGCGCGCTGGAAGGAGGTCGTCCGAGGGGGCGGAAAGCCCCCGAGCCGGGCGGTGCCGCGCTTCTCCGCCTTGGCGGGTTGCGGACTTCTTCGGGTTCTTACTGACCGCAAGCAGCGCCTGCGAGCCAAGCCCTCAGCCCGCCGTCCCTGTGCTCCCCACGTGCGTGTTGGCGCCGGCGGCTTCCCCATTTCACTCCCCTGCCTCCCGGTGCCAGATGGAGGTCCAGCCCTTTCTAGCAGTCCGAATCGGGGCGAAAGGGGCAACTTGACGGCGAGGGTTCCCTGCATTTCACGCGGGAGGGCTGCGTGCGTCCGGGGAGGGGCGCCTGGTTTGGTGGGATGCACGGGGGCGGGTTCCCTGCAAACCTTCCCCAGCCTTGCTTGAGCTCGCACTCGTGTTTGCAGCGACTCCCATGCCACTTGCCTGCTGCAGGGAGACACCTCTGGGCTTCGCATGTGGATGGGGGAGAAAACTAGTGGGTGGGAACAGAGAGGAGAAGGCAGCAATCCTGCGCGTATTTGAGCAAAACAGAACTTCTAAAACTCCCAGCATTCCCCGCTGCCTGGGGAATGCTGGAAGTCAAGGGAGTTTTGTTCTGTCTAGACATACATAGGATGGTGCCCAAGGTCAGGTCACTTTAAAACTTGAACAGGCCCACAGAACACCTGACCAGCCAAGCCATCAGGGGGTTGGGGTTGGGGTTAGGGGCCACCTTCAGGTCAAGTCCACCTTCTGTTTTTGCCGCCTGCCACAGGTTAGTATACTACATGCATATATATATATAAGCCCAGCAGGCAGATCACAGGCTGCTGTTCCAAGGCATTGGTGAGTTTCTAGATGCCCGGGCTTGGACTAGGGTGAATCTGAGAGAAGCAGTTCCTGGGCTGCTTTTAAATAGTTTTGGATGCTTGGTTCAAATCTTTGTTTGGCCATGAGGCACACTTGCTCATTTTCTCGTTCAGACTGCCCCTGTGGAATAGCTTTGACTATAAATGCAGTCAGAAATATGCAGGATAGAGAGTGATAGAGAATTTTGTGCCAGCTGCCCTGATCCTAGGTAGTACCTGCCAAGATGACATAATTCCTGTTCCCCCTCCTGGCTTTCTGTTGAACTGTACTGCATGTGAGTGTGCATGGATTAGATGCAAGAGCATAGATGCAGCTTCCACACTGCTGTGTGCAGAAATGCACGGCGGCCACAGCTCTTTGGCATCTGGCAAAGTTCTGTAAAATTCTTGCCTCCTTTGTCCTTCTGCCTTGTGGCATTTGGATGTGTAACTTGTAGCAAACTTCTTGGTTGTATGGAATTATAATTAATGGTTTTTCCCAGGGAAAGAAATGGAGTAGTAGGCTTTTCTCCATCTCCTATATAATTACCTTTTCAGTCCATTGGTTTGCCACAGATAGCTTTGTTTTTTGCTGTGAACTGGGAGATTAAGTGTATGTAAGCTGAATGGTTCCAGCTAGGAAGCCCCAGGACCCTGTTTTGTGTTACAAAATTCTGCAAAAACTTTTAAAATGTTAAATAACTTAGCTATTGCAAATTCCTTTTGCCTCTGCAGAAATGAGTTTGGAATTAAAATTAGAAGTGCCTGCTGTCTCTCCAGCTTGTTTGTTTAGCCAGTTGTTGTCCCTCTTGAGAGCTGTGCTGAGTGTAACAGACCCTGTTCAGCCTCCAGACTGCCTGGTGCTGGGCATGTCCCAAGTTCCTGTTTTTGTCTTTTTCTCTCCTCCGGAGCACAAAGCCCCTGCTTCATTGACCAAAGAAGCACGTCCAGAGAGAGTTGCGGCTTGTTATAATCTTGCCCTCCACAAAAATGTAGAAAGGAAACATGCCTCTTTGAAAACATTAGATTGCATTTCTTATTCTGATTTTAATACAAACATATGAAAAAAGAAAACAGCCAAAAGCCTGCAAACTTACTATTTAAATGGAACTTTGTCTAAACAGAATAAATGCAGATAGCTGGACAAACCAGCAAAGTACGGCGAAAGCAGCTAGAGATTACCATTTCTCTCATAGGTTTAAAATGGGTCACACTTGGGAATTGATGGGCCATACATTCAAGAAAGACAGAAAAAAGTGCTTCACGGAGCCTATATTTAACCTATGGAATTTGCTGCTACAGAATGGACACTGCCTGGACAGGGCACCTGTGGGTCCTGGGACAAATGTCCCAGTGCCATAGGAGTGTTCAGATACCCCTTTGGAGGTCAGAGACAGTGCTCTGACCTCAGAAGGGGGACTTGGAGATCTGCCCCTTGCTGCTGGCGTGGAGCAAGCTGCACTGGCTGTCCTTCAAGAGTGGAGCAGCAACCTCTGAGGAGGAGGAAAGGCCGGGGGTGGAGAAGATTGCAGAGGCCAGGATGGGCATCATCCTGAACCTCCTCTAGCCCCCTGCCTTGCACTGGATGATCCAACGCCTCCAAGTTCAGGGTCTTCCAGTCACTGAAGATTATCTTTGATCTCATCCAGCAAAGATCTTCTGCAATTAAGGTCCCTCCCTTCCAAAATCTTCCTCAGTGGTTGAAAGCATTCTGTAGTAAGGACTTGGCCAGAGAGTGAGTTCTCCTGTGTTTGTGCCATCACTGAAAAGCCTGACCTGTGGAGAGAATAGGGTGGGAAGGAAGGTGTGGGAGGAGATACTTTGGATGTTGCTGTGCACAGGTGATCTAGTAAAAATAGTGAGCATTTCAATTTCATTCACACCTGGTATTCACCAGAAGCAGTATTTAGATACTGCTCCATTCAGTTCCTTGTCTCCCTGAACTGTAAAAATGGGTGCCTTTGTTTTTTCCCTCTTGCTGTCATAAGAAAGGCCCAAAGGTCCACCTAGTCCAGCTCTCCGTGCATGTGGTAGCAAACCAGCTGCCGCAGAATCCCTCCAGCAGGACAGGTGCAAGACCTCTGCCTGCCCAAGCCGCTGGGCAAGCGCTGTGTGCAGGGACGCCACCTCAGCTGAAGGAGGGAGCACACGGCCGGCCAGGCTAATAGCCACTGGCTGCCCCCTTGCTCACGAGTCCGCCCAGTCCCTTTTTCATGGGGACCATCACCACTTCCCATGGCAGTGACTTCCACAGTTGAACCGCACGGTGTGTGAAAAGATGCTTCCTTTTATCTGTCAAGAACCTCCCACCAGTGTTATGGGAGAGGGAGGAAAATGTCCATACTGTGTGTTATTTTAAACACCTCTATCATGTCTCCCCGTCCAAAAAAAAATTCTAAGCTGACCAGTCCCAGTTTTTGTAGCCACTCCTCACAGGAGAACTGCTCCAGCCTCCCGGTCCTTTTTGTTGCCCTTCTCTGTATTATCTGCCTTTCTGTTTCTGTCCCTTCTTTAAGTTGTACACCTGAGGGAGGGGACTCTCTTGCTGTTTTTGCTGAACCCCTCTCAGCTGACCATGGGGTCAAAATGTGCCAGCAAAATGTGCCACCTGGGTGAGCATGCAGGATTGGCCCACGCTGCCTGTGCGCATGCCACAGAATGCCACAGGGGATGGTAATAGACATCTTTCCCAAATCTTTGGTTTTCCCTTTCGCTCCCTCAAGCGTTGGCTTCCAGGCTTTTAACCAGCTTTTTGGATGTCCCATCTGGCATACTTGGGCCTTTCTCCAAAGCTCGTGTGAAACAAGGTATGATGTAGATTAACCACCTGTCCTGAATAATATATAGTTTAGCTGCTTGTGAGCAAACAGTAAATGAAAAGGCCTGGGAGGGACATAATTCCACAAAAAAATTAAAAGGTCTACTTTTTCTGGAAAGCCTACTTCACTCCGTGGCTCTGTGTGTTTTAAGCCGTGGATAGGATCCTGTGGGTTACGGATGGCATAGAATAGCTGACATGCTCCTAGAAATACTGCACTGTGGAATTGCTTTCGTGGAACCTGAAAGGCTCACGTGTCACTTCAGATCAAGTTGCCCGCTCTCAGGGTTGTAAACCCAAATCTAAATAATACGAGGGCTTTGGTTCTGTGTCTGCTAAGGGGAACAGTTTCGGGTCCAGAGGCCTGATTGCGTTCCCCACCCCTGGATTCCCTGCAGGCCCAGCCATCTCCCAGCACCACCAGGTTCCCTAGCTGCAGCACTGGCTGGAGCTTTTGCAGCCACTGCTTTGGCCCAGAAACTGGATTCCCTCTGTCCAGAAGCCCCTGGCTAGGGACAGTCAGAGTGACTGAACTCCCTCCTTGCATTTTTCACATGGGGAGGAGCAAGCTGAATTGGCCCAGTCCCCTTTAACCCTTTGTCACCTCCTGATGGAGGGAAGCAATCTGGCTGTGTCCTTGTCAGGTTGAGGGGAACTCGGAGGCCTCACTTCAGGGTAGCTGGGCTTTCGCAGGCTGAGGAAAGCTGAGGCACGCCGAAGCGCTCTTGGGCGAAGCTTCGGCTGAAGTGCTCGCGTGCTGGTCAGGCGGTTTCATCTCCCTGCCCCAGTAGGAAGGGCAAGCGGCAGACTGGGCAGGGGAACCCCCTCTGTTCTTGCCAGTCGGTGAGAAGGCGGTGTGGGTTCGATGAAGAGGGGCTGGAACTCTGGGGGTGGTGCTGGTGACCATGCTCCCCTCCCTCCTCGCTTCTCGCCTCACTCGCACTGCTTCCTACGCAATATAGTCTGATCTCTTTATTTTGCAGAAATGGAAGTGCTGAAGTCTGAAAAGTAGGAACTAAGGACTCAACATGAATGGGGAAAGGATTGCTTTGTCGCCGCCACATCCTTCTCATTGAAAGGTATGATTTAGCCTGTGCTCAAATGCTTCATCCAAGATGGGACTGCTTGAAGATGGCTCATTTCGCACCTCGTACCAGACCACGTACTGCAGGAGACCCGGCGGCCAGGGGAATGTTTTGTAGAGCATGCGGCATGACGCTGGCCACCTAATGCCCTCTCTGGAACCAGCCACCCAGGTGGGAGTGGAGCCATCAGACGATGCTGCTGCCCTCAATTCAGTCCTGTGCAGCCAGCACTGTTGGTGGTGCTGAAACCGCCTGAGAGCCATTTTGTTTAGAGCAGCCCCTAGTCCTCTTTTTTTGGAATATTTACGGTGCAACAAATGCTGCAACAACATGAGAGCGTTGTGGCATGGCAGATACGATGTCGCGCTCAGTGTCTGTGTCCTGCTTGATGGTGTGGCTCCCGAATTTGTGCTCCCGCTCCGTCTTTTTCTAACGGGAACGCTAGTTCAAGTGGATCGGCATAGCTGTGCTGTCATCGGCTGAGTTCACAAATCATGTTCTGATCTTCCAAATTGTGGTTTAGAAGTTTTGGACAATGCTGCATATGTCATAGAATCCTAGAACAGCAGAGTTGGGAGGGGCCTACACAGCCATCCCATCCAACTCTGCCCAGCGCAGGGCTGCCGGGCAAAGCACCTGTCTCAGGCGGCTGCCAGCTGATGTGCAGCCAGCTCCCCAGGTCACCGGTCCCCTTGCCGTGCCTGGACGTGCCTCCCTCCTGCTCTCCGGTGCTTTCTTTCATTTCCAGGTGTCGGGCAGCTACTGCTGCGGTAGTGGTCATGCTGTGGGGCTGGAATCACGAGGCCCAGGGCCACAGCTCTCCTCCCGCCCTGGACCTGCAGCCATAGCGCTCCTGGGCTGAGCATAGGTGGGGGGATCCGGATATTGTGCCAAGCTTCCTTTAGAGGAGATCGAAACGTCCCGTTGTGTGGGGAAAACACCAGGCAGAAAGCCGATTTGGTTAGAATGTGTTTGAGATGGCTTGCGTGACGACGTACTGGACAAACCGTGCAGGCCGGCTCTGCTTGAAGAAGAGCATCCGCATGCGATGTACATGGTTATCTGGCATAATTCCTGTTTCTGCTAGTCAAGGGCCAGGACAAGGAGTGGCGTCCAAACCCTGTCTCTGGGCGTAACTCCTGATTGCTGTTGAGGGAGGGCTAAAGGAGGCCTAGTTGATTAAAGATGTGCTCTTAATTAAGTGGCAGATTTCTTAGAAAACAGTAGTATCTTTTATCCAAGCTCATGGCATGGGGGTAGATGCCATTTTGGAGGAATTCCTGCTTCAGTTCTGAGAGAGCACTGGCTAGAACATGTGGTACATCTTCCAAAAGTGCAAGCTGCGCTTTGCTTTATCAGTGATCCTGTCATCTCACTGCGTTGGCAGTTTCTTTCTTGCTGGGGGGTAACCCTATATCAGGGTGCGCAGTGTTTGTTCTTCCAGGTGCTTTGGCTCATGACTCCCAGCATTCCTCGCTAGTGCCTGTGCTGGACCTGGCCGATGGAGCTATGGTCTGGCAGAGGAGCAAGCCCTTTGCGTGTCTTTTCCCAGGAGCCTCAGCCATGGAGGACAAGCGCAACATCCAGATCATCGAGTGGGAGCACCTGGACAAGAAGAAGTTCTACGTCTTCGGCATCTGCATGACCATGATGATCCGGGTCAGCGTGTACCCCTTCACGCTCATCCGGACGCGGCTGCAGGTCCAGAAGGGGAAGAGTCACTACAACGGGACTTTTGACGCCTTTGTCAAGATCCTGCGGGCAGAGGGGGCGGCCGGGCTCTACCGCGGCTTCTTGGTCAACACGTTCACCTTGATCTCGGGCCAGTGCTACGTGACCACGTACGAGCTCACCCGCAAGTACGTCTCCCGCTACAGCAGCAGCAACACGGTCAAGTCGGTCGTGGCGGGAGGCTCTGCCTCGCTCGTGGCCCAGAGCATCACGGTGCCCATCGACGTGGTCTCCCAGCACCTGATGATGCAGCGGACAGGCGGCAGCATGGGCCGCTTCCAGGTGCAGGCGCACAAGGACAAGCGCTTCCCCGTCTTCGGCCAGACCCGAGACATCATCGCGCAGATCTTCAAGGCCGACGGGCTGCGAGGCTTCTACCGGGGCTACGTGGCCTCCCTGCTCACTTACATTCCCAACAGCGCCGCCTGGTGGCCCTTCTACCACTTCTACGCAGGTAGGAGACGCTGCAGCGAGCACTGGGCTTCCTGGCTCAGCCTTCCCTGGCCACTGTCCGCTCTCAGCCTCTGGGGAACCGCTTCGCTCCAAGGGCAGGTCGCCCCCAGGGAAGCTTCCAGGGGAGATGCGTGGTTCCCCGGCAATCCCACGCATTCTGCACCCCTCCCCTGCACACCTACTCCGTGACACGCGCAGCTTTCCCTGCCCCCTTGGCCTGATCGGGCTGGCGGGGGGCGGGGGGGGCAGCCTGCACAGCACTAACAAAAGTTGCCCCTCACAGTGCCGAGCAGGGAAGGGGCCTGACCTCTTCTCAGCCGAAGAAAGGACTTTTGTGCTGGGACTGGGCAGTCCTGAGGCTGGCGGGCCGGACGGGAAGCCTTCAGGCGCCCAGGTGCAGCCGAAGCCCTGCTGCAGGTGGCCCCCCTTCCGCGGCCGCAAAGGGACAGTCCTTTTGCTGCTGGTTCCCAGAGGGTGGTGCTCTGGTGGCCCCAGGGGCTTCTGCAGGCACCGCCTCCTGGCCGTGCTTGCTCAGCATGCCCCTCCAGCAGGGCCTGGCTCCATGCCCCCAGCGGCTGCAGCCGTGCCTCCCCGTCCCCATCCCCGGCCTCTCCCTCTTGCTTTCAGAACAGCTCTCCAGCCTGACTCCCAAGGACTGCCCGCACCTCCTCCTGCAGGCGATATCTGGGCCAATGGCTGCCGCAACTGCGTCCACCCTCACTAATCCCATGGATGTCATTCGGGCGCGCGTGCAGGTAAGAGCCTCCCTGACCTGCCCGTGTCTCCCTTTCCGGCGAGAGCCATTTGCAGTGCGCCCGGCAGCAGCCCACAGTCCCCTTGCCTGTGCTGCGTTGCGCGCAGTGAAAGGGCCCTGCGTGTGACCGTCCGACACGGCAGGTGCCGGGGCAGATCCCCTGGCTCGTGTCCCCTCTCTGCCCACCACGCGGTCCTTTCCCGGCTCAGAACTCCTCGTGGCTTTCCCTCCACTGCTGGAGAGAGGAGGAGAGCCAGTGGGATGCGGCCATTGCCACAGGGGGAAGGCACATGGGAGGGAAGTTGCTCTGTACACAAGTGGAGACAGAGCTGAAGACCTGAAAGGTTTGCCTCATGGAGGCAAGGCTCCCACTTTCTGAAGGAAGCCTCCTTCTCTTGAAGGTCTTCCTTGACCTCTTGGGAATCGCTTGGGCTTGGTGCTGCCTTTCTTATTGTGGCTTTGGGGGATTTCAGCCTTTTGTCTCCTTCTTATGAGTTTCCTCATTTATTTATTTAGAAAATTTCTATACCGCCCCATTCGCAAAAAGCCTTGGGGCGGCTTACAAAACGAATAAACAATTATACAATTACCTTAAAAATCCGGAGACATCTCAGCACAGATATAAAATCAATAAATACAATCAACAATTAAAATAATGTTTAAATAAAAAGGTCTTGGCCTGGCACCGAAAAACAAATAACGGCGCCAGGCAGACCTCTCTGGGGAGCACATTCCATAGGTGGGGCGCCACCACAGAGAAGGCCCTCCTCCGGGTACTCACCCTCCTAATATCCTTCACGGAGGGTCCCCGGAGAAGGGCCTCTGCCACCGATCTCAAGGGGCGGGAGGGCAAATATGGGCACAGGCACTCCTTTAGATAACCAGGTCCCAAGCCGTTAAGGGCTTTATAGGTAATAACCAGCACCATGAATTGGGCCGGGACTTCAGTGGTGAGCCAGTGAAGCTGATGGAGGACTGGGGTTATATGAGCACAACGCCCCGTCCCCGTCAGCAACCTGGCAGCTCTGTTCTGCACCAATTGAAGTATCCGGACCGTCTTCAAGGGCAGCCCCACGTAGAGTGTGTTACAGAAGTCTAATCGGGAAGTTACCAACGCGTGTGTCACTGTCACCAGGCAGTCGTACTCCAGGTAGGGGCGCAGCTGATGGATCAGCCGAAGCTGAAAGAAAGCGCTCCTCGCCACCACTGTCACCTGAGCTTCTAGCGACAGCTCTGAGTCGAGGAGCACTCCCACGCTGCGAACCCTGTCCCTAAGAGGGAGTGCAACCCCATTCAGGACAAGGTCCAGGTCCCCTGCCCAGAAGCCCGAACCACCTACCTACAGGACCTCTGTCTTGTCTGGATTGAGCTTCAGTTTATTGGCCCTCATCCAGCCCATTACCTCGGCCAGGCACCGGTTCAGCACAGCCACTGCCTCACCTGGATTAGTTGAGAATGAAAGGTAGAGCTGGGTATCATCAGCGTACTGATGATTCCGCAGCCCACACCTCCTGATGACCTCTCCCAGCGGTTTCATGTAGATGTTAAATAGCAAAGGGGACAAAATGGACCCCTGCGGAACTCCATGGCATAACTGCCATGGTGCAGAACCATAGTCCCCCAGCACTACCTTCTGGAATCGGCCATTGAGATAGGAGCGGAACCACTGCAAAGCAGTGCCTCCGACTCCCAATCCCGCTAGCCTATCCAGAAGAATACCATGGTCAATGGTATCGAAAGCCGCTGAGAGGTCCAGGAGCACCAACAGGGACGCACTCCCCCGTCCTTCTCCCTGCACAGGTCATCGTACAGGGCGACCAAGGCAGATTCAGTACCGTACCCGGGTCTGAAGCTGGACTGAAACGGGTCCAGATAATCAGTTTCATCCAAGAGAGCTTGGAGTTGTCCCGCCACCACCCGCTCCAACACCTTGCCCAAATATGGGATGTTGACCACCGGTCTATAATTGGTGGCCATCTCTGGATCCAGGCATGTTTTCTTTAGGACTGGTCGGACTACCGCCTCCTTTAAAGGGGCAGGTACCCGGCCATCCCTCAGAGAGGCGTTGACCACCTCCAGGATCCAGGTCCCTATCCCATGCTTGGCGTTGTTAAGTAGCCAAGAAGGGCAAGGGTCCAATAGACAGGTGGTGGGACGTACTTGTCCAAGCACCTTGTCCACATCAGCAGGCCGCAACAACTGAAATTCATCCATCAATTTTGGACCAGACAGCGGCATTGGCACCTTCCCAGAAGGTTCTGAGTCACTAGTGGAGTCCAGCTCATGACAAATCTGAGCGATTTTCTCCTTAAAATGCTTGGCAAAGTCGTCACAGTGGGCCGTCGAGGGTGGCACAGGATCTTTCTTGGGGCCCGGGTGAACCATCTCCGTACCGCCCGAAAGAGCTCCGCCGGACGGCATTGTGAGGAGGCAATGGAAGCGGAGAAGAATTTCTTCTTTGCTTCCCTCACCGCCACAGCATAGGCTCGAGAGTGAGCTCCCAAGTGTGTTCGGTCAGATTCATACCGTGATTTCCTCCACCTACACTCTAGACGTCTCCCAACCCGCTTCATCGCCCGTAGTTCAGGTGTATACCAAGGGAATGAACTGGCTCTGCGAGGCGGGAGAGGACGCTTAGGAGCAATCGTGTCAATATCCCTGGTCATCTCCCCATTCCACAGTTTGACCAAGGCACCGACAGGAGCACCAGCCTTATCAACCGGGAAATCCCCCAGGGCCTTCAGGAATCCATCCGGCTCCAGGGGCAGACCAGCACAATCGGGTCTGCACCCTCACAGAGGGAAAGGCTGCTCTCAAGCTCAAGCCTCACGAGGAAGTGATCTGACCATGACAGGGGTGTCAGACACAAGTTCCTCACCCTCAGATCCCCTCACCCTCAGATCAGATTCTTCCTGCCCCGTCGAGAAAACCAGGTCCAGAGTGTGTCCACGTTCATGGGTCGGGCCAGTGACATGTTGAGACAGCCCCATGGCCGTCATGGAGGCCGTGAAGTCCTGAAGCGCCCTGGTCGGAACCGTCTCGGCGTGGAGATTGAAGTCCCCCAGGACCAGCATCCTGGGAGTCTTCTACACCAGGTCCGAGATGATCTCCGTCAGCTCAGGCAGGGAGTCTGTTGGGCAGAAGGGTGCACGGTACACCAGCAGAACCCCCAATCTGTCTCGGTCGCCCAACACCAAGTGGAGGCACTCTAGACCCGGCCTCGAGAGGACTGGAAGCCCCATGAGGGAAAGAGAGGCTCGGTAAACCAAAGCGACCCCCCGCTGCCCTCCAGGCATGGTCAGTGCTGGACCAGATACCTGGGCAGGCACCACGCCCGCCCCCCCCCCCCCCCCGCCGGCGGGGAGGAGGCAAGGGCGGCCGCGCAGAGCGGTTATTTTAGATAACGTTCCCCTTTTGACCTCTTTGCTAATCTTCCGCTGAAATGGACAGTGGGGCTCCCGTGTCCGCAGGATAGTAGCAAGCACTGCCGTGCTGCGCAGAGTTGCGAGAAAGGTGTTGGGCTCGTTGGAAAGCTCCCTCGGGGGCTTCCTCCTGGGGGGCTTGCTGGGATGGCTGCCTGCTGTGTGCCTGGAAGCTGGCTGAGATGGTGCCGTGGTTATTTAAGGGACTTCTCGTGACAGCCAGCCAGCAATGCCTGGCTCAGCTGTCAGGTGTTCGGCAAACTGCAGCCTCGGAAACCCCCGAGGGGGAGAACTGGAGAACTGTGGGCTCCGCCGCCTGCTTAGGGACCCCACGCTCTTTGTTCCAGTACCAGCCATCCCCACGCACCCCTCTTGTCTCTCCTTGTCTCGTGTTTCTCGCAACACACACACACACACACACAGGGAGAAGCCATCCTGTGCATGTAAGGTCAACAGTGTAAGAGCTGAGGTGTGTGGGGGTGGGCTAGAGCTACTCGTGCTTTTTGCAGTTCTGTGGGGGGAACCTGTGCCCCTCATCCCCATGGAGTTATGGTTGGGTTGGGCCCTGGTGATAGTCAGTTTTTCCATTTTCACGGGGGTCCTGTGCCCCTAAGCCCCTTGAATGTGGAGAGCCGAATGTGCTGTTTCTGGACCGCAGTCCAGCACTGTGAAGTGAAACTGCGGTGACTGAAGCGGCAGGTATGGGGGTTTCACCACCTGTTGGATCGGACGGCACTGCGAACACCGTTTCCAGGCAGCTCAGCAACTCTCGCCCGTCGTACGAGCTGCCCTGATGCAGTCCCCAGGGCGACCATGCTTAGAGTCCAGCACACAGTTCTGGTCACCAGGCCTAAAAAGGGATATTGTAGAATCAGAAAGAATACAAAAAGGGCGGTGAAATGCTCAGTGGCGTGGAGTGATGCTCCCTATGAGGAAAGGCAACAGCCGTTAAGATCGTTTGACTTAGAAGGGAGGCGAGGGGAGGCGTGGCTGGTGTGCGACGTTCTGCGTAGCGTGGGGGAAATGGCGAGGAAGACGTTGGGCGGGTGAGGCTGTGGGTGTGCTCAGTCAGTGCCCATGAGGCCATCGGGAGACCTGGTGTGGCGGTCGAGGCTGGACTGGGGACCTGCGAGATTCGGAGCGCAAAGCGGCCTTGGAAGGTTCGGTGGGCTTCGGGAAGAGAAGTGTGGGGCACTTTTGTGGGGGAACTCATCGTGCCTCCCTAGGACTGAGGCCCAAGGACTCCAGGATGCCCACAGAACCTCTCGCTGCCCCCCAGGCTCCCTGCCCCCTTGCTTTTGGCCTTAAGCCTTTCCGTGGCTGAGGAATTATTTTTGGCCGAGAGTCTGGCGAGCAGCACAGCAAAGCAAAGGGCTGCCCTCCAGCACCGTATCCATGTGAGTTCAAAAGGGCGGGCTTGAGAGCCACAGTGAAGCCATGCAGTTCAGGGGGAGAGCGTGGAACTGGGGGTCTGGGCGAGGGGGGTGCCAGTCCTCCCTCGGCCATGAAGCCCCGTGGATGATTCGGGGCCAGCCACTCCCAGCCCACCCGTCTTCACAGGGTGCTTGTGCTGAGGGTTAATTGCAATGGAGGAGGCCTGCACAAGCTGCCGTGGGTCCCTCACCAGAGGGAGGAGTGGGGTAGCCATGGAAGGAAATGGTTTCCCCCCCCCCCAGTGGGGCACCCCATGAAACCGACGGTTGGGAGGTTGAGGACACATCAGAGGAAGGCCTTCTTCCCATGGCTGCCAGTCCTCATGGAGACGTGCGGCACGTCCAGGAGCCCCCATCGCTGGGGATTTTGGACCGGAGGCGCACCTGCGCTCCGCTCCTGCTTGAGGGATCCCATGGGCGGTCGGCTGGCCCCTGTGCAGACAGAACGCAGGACTGGATGGGCCCTGGCCTGATCCAGTGGGGCCCTCCGGCGGAAGCCTGCCTCCACAGTGGTTGTTAGTCGCGAAGTCAGTCGTGTCCGACCCATCGCGGCCCCATGGACAGCATTCCTCCAGGCCTTCCGGTCTTCCACTGTCCCCCGGCGTCCACTCAAGCTCTCACCAACTGCTTCAGTGACTCCCACCACTGAGTTCCTCCACAGTACATTCCTTTAAAGGCCCCAGACGTATCGGAACACAGATGTGCAGAATGGAGCTGGCCCGGCCTCCCTTGTGGGGGTGGTCCTGAGCCTGGGAGCAGCGGTGGAGAAGGGCCCGCTTCATGCCCTGCCAGGTAGTGGCGGCACAGAGAAGGGCCCCTGCAAAGCATTTCCAGACCTGGGCTGCCCGTACAGGGGAAGAGGGTCCTTGGCGCGGCCTGGTTCCAAGCAGCAGAGGACTTCACCTCACCTCGTGCCTGAAAATGGACGGGTGGCTGGCACCGCTCTGGCACGTGCTCCCTGGAGCTGGTGCTGGTCAGTGATGACAACGTGGCAGCCGAAAGAACTGGGAAAATGTTCTCCTTTTATTCCCAAGAACTGCTAGCTCTGGGAAAGGCCAGGTTGCGCTGCACTGTGCTGAGGGAGGGGAGCTCTGGGCTGGGCAGGGACAGCGGGGCCTCCTGCCCCACTGGAGGGGCTGCGGCCCCCACTTTGGCTGCCAGAGGTCCCAGGTTTGCTGCCTGGCAGGGCCGGGAAGACCCCTGCCTGAATCCGCTGCTCCCATCCTGGCCAGGTGGCTCAGGGCCCGGCGTGGCACTGAGCCACCCCTGGCATTCACCACCTTGCTGAGGCCTCCGCTCCGAGCAGGAGGAGAGCTTGATTTGGAAATCACACGCTGGTGTTGCAGACCACATACAAGGCCATTTTTAAGGGATTTTCTCGAACAGTGGGGATGATATATTTGTATAAGACGTGAACAAGCTCGTGTATAGTTAATACACGTTAGTACATTATAACCCTTTACTGCTTGTACTGCTTGCCTTGGCTGCTCAAGAAAGGCAGTCTCTACCTTCAGCAGTACATAGATGCAACAGAAATGTTGTCGGAGAGGGAAGGAAATGAACCCTAAACGGTGCTTTGTGCAGCATTTGGATCTTGGAAGCTGTTGCTTCTTTAGCAGAGCGTTTGACCCTCTGAGGCAGCGTGTATGGATCCAAGACTGTCCCCGGTTCCCTGTCCTTGCACTCTTGCCCTGCCACGTTAACCCACACGAGTGCCTGTTCTTTTTGCCCCGCAGGTGGAAGGCAAGAGTTCCATTATTCTCACTTTCAAGCAGCTGATAGCAGAGGAAGGCCCAGGGGGTCTCATGAAGGGCCTCTCGGCCCGCATCATCTCGGCCACCCCTTCTACCATCGTCATTGTGGTGGGGTACGAGACGCTGAAGAAACTAAGCCTCCGCCCAGAGCTGGTGGACTCGCGGCACTGGTAGCAAAAGGGGGAGTGGAGAAACGGACGTCTCTCGAGTCTCTTGGACCATCGCAATGGTTGAAAATTCACCAAAAAGCAAGCGTGGGGGCAGAAGCACTTTCTGAAGCAGCGCTGCTAGTGGAGAATTGGGTGCAGGTGGCCGTGTGCAAGCATTTCTTGGCCCCAGCATTGCTCCCCTCGGGGATCGATTGCCACTCTCTGCAAAAGAAGCACCTACTGTAAAAACCCCTCGAGCTGTTCATCTGTGAGGGAAGCCTGGCCCCACTCCCCAAACCTCAATCCCAAAACTGATTTTGATTCTCCCTTTCAGTTTGCCAAATCCCCACAGTGCGGGAGTAACTTTGTGCAAGACCCTCAGTTGGAGGTTGCCAACTGCAGCAGTGCCCGACACTTTGTTAAAAAGCAGTTCATAAACATGCATCTGCCCAACTCTGAAACTTCTGACAGCTGAAGATTTGAAAGGGGGCACACATGCCAGATGCCAGGAATTGTTTTAAGAGACGCTGCTCTGACGCCTTGACAAGACGTGTAAATACATGTTTTCTTTTGGCTCATCCTTGGAAGCCGGCTTGCCAGTCCCTTGCCCCATTTCTGATATGTCAAAAGCGATTTTAAAAGAATTTCCTTTCTAGCCTGCAGCAGTTGTGGTGCACAATTGTTGTGTTGTGTGTATTTCTGTCTTCTGGGGGGAGCCCTAAAATCCACTCTAGGGAGGATGGCACCCCTTATTCTGTGGCCTTTGCAAATTGGAGTGTGTAAAAATTAGAACCCTAAAATTGCTTCCTCCTGCCAGTTCGTTTTCCTTCTAAGCACAAAGACACCTGGCGATTCTCCTCTTGCATCTCCTTGGGAAGGCAGGGTTCAGTTTTGCTGAAATGTTTTGTATAATACCTAATTTGATCTTTGTATGAGTGTCTCATTCACTGAGTGACTGTTTTGTTAACCGGAAAGACAACGATGTCGGTGGGCAGGAGCACTACTTCCTGCGCTGGTGGGAGCAGGTGGTCAGGTGCGTGTGCACCTGCGGCCTTCGGCACGGCAGAGCGGCCAGCCGGGACGGCAGCCTCTTAGAGTTGTGTGCTCCTGCGGGTGAAATCTGTTTGGGCTCCCGCTTCAGCTGTTGGGACGGTGAGAGCAGAGCGTGGGTGCGGCAGGACCCGTGGCCGTGCGAGGGGCATCTTCCCGCACCAGCTTCCCCGCTCGCCAGCGCAGCTTCATTCTGGGTTCCTTGTTGTCCACAGTGCTCTGGTAGCCATGGAAGACTGGACGGCTGTGAGCGCGGACAGGAGGCCGCATTATCGTGGAAACCAGTTCAGTCCCTCCAGTCGTAAGGGGAAAGGGGCTGAAAGCAGCACTGGGCAGGTGATACTCTTTGCACTTTGGATCTCTTCTCTGCAGCAAGCAGAATGCTTTTTAAAAACTTGGATCAGCGTTTACTCAAGTGCCATAATCAGAAACCAAGAGAGGCTGTAGGCCTTGCGATGTTTGAATGTTGTTCTCCAAGAAGGTTCAGTGGAGGAGTATGTACTATGGGACGACACGTATTTAGTGTGAGGTGGCCACAGGAAGTGGCGGATGCAGACGAGTCTCCCCTAAGCCCATTCAGAGGTCTTGCCCCTCACTGAAAGGGTGGGGTAGCACCAGGCCAGCCTTCCCCAAGCTGGTGCCCTCCAGAGGTTTGGGGCTGCAGTCCTCTGCATTCTTTGCCATTGGCCATGCTGACTGAGGTGATCGGTGTTGGAGTCCAGAGCAGCTAGAAGGCACCCGGTAGGAGTGAGCTGAACTGAGCAGCAGGCCCCACCTTTTCCCGTATTGCTTGTGGAGAAAGAGCTGGGAGAGATGGCATACACTGCACCAACTCTTCACCTGCCCCAGATCAGCCTTGAACCGTCCCCAGCCTGGTGGACTCCCTTGTGTGGACTGCAGTTCCCATCATTCCAATGCAGGCTGAGCATTACTGGCGTTCATGCCTCTGGAGATCAGGCGGGGTGGCTTGGCTCTGGGGTGGATCGGGGCAGGGGCGCACGGCTGCTCTGCACCGTGCCAGCTTGCCGGCCTGGCTGCCTCCCCAGGGCGCTGGGTGCTGCGTGGAGGAACTTGGGTTCGGTGGCGCAGGCCAGGCAAGAGTCTCGGCTCGGGGCATTTTCAGCAGCATGGGCACACGTGTTACGAAGGCCTGATGGGGGTTGTGGGGAGTTTGGGTTTTTTGTAGAGCAGAGGAATCTCTCCCATCTGTGACCCCAAAATTCTCATACCACACAATTATTTTATATGTCGCAAATAACAGAATTTGGTTGGGTTTTGCCAAATTGTTTCCTTGGTTTTTTGCTTTTGTAATGGAGTGTTCAAAAGTATTTCCTGATCAAAAGCAAAGGCTCTTGGCTGAACTGACGTTCCCCGTTGGCAGGCTCCACACATTCTTTGCTGTGTTACGCACTGGGGTGGTCTTGGTGAGCAACTGCTCTTGCTCCAAATGCAGCTGATGACCTGCTGGGCGTACCTGGGTGCAGGTGGGCTCCGGTCAGTTTCTTCAGTGAAGCAACTCATCCCTGTGGGGGTCGGATGGATTAATCCCTTCCTCCAAAGCGGCTGCGATGGTTTTCCAGTGTTACACCACTGACTTCAGTTCATCGGATGTGCCACAGATTCGTACGAAAATACTGTAGCCCTCTTCTCGATGGCTGGTACCTACAGTGCTGGTCCCTCCTGCTGGTTAAAGCACAGCTTATGACCGGTAACGTGTTCGTTCTGGCGAAGTCTGTCCATGTGCATGCTATGCCAAGTACAAATAACCAAGTCTGGTAATTTTTACATAGTGGGCTGAGATCTCGTTCCATTCTTTATCCACTTTTTAAAAGTGGCATTGGTATTCTGACTTAATTGCTGTTTCTAATCTTTAGTGCAAAGAGAATCTGTAAGGAACGCCAGGGAACTGATCTCCCATCAACACACACCTCACTTTGAGCCGGGGGTGCAGAGCAAGCAGGGCCAATGGGGGCTTCAGCAGCTCCCTGGTCTGAGGATGTGCCTGCCGGCATCTTGTCAAAAGGGAAGTGGATTCCCAGGGGTCTCTGATACTGGTGCCTGCTGCTGTTTCAATGCAGAGTATGGATGTATTTGTGTACATGAAAAATAGGTTCAATTTTGCACTGTAAGATGTCTCTGAAGTGTAATTAAATTTTTATTATTTATTTGACCCTTTACCTGGTGGTTCTTACTGTGCTGATACTGTACAAAAGAGGATGGGGCTGTGTTCATGAGGACGGTTGGGGGCTTTGGCAGAGAGCTGCTGGCAGGGCAAATGGCCTGAAGGGTGAACGGCTCGCTGAAACCCTCCGCTGCCTCTTGGCTTGGAGGCAGAGTGCAGGGGGTGTGTCTGAACAAGGCAACGGGGAGGCCAAGTGAGGGTTGGGAGGAACCCTTTCGGAATCCGTCTCTAGCATCCACGGACTTCCTCTTGCGCTGAGCCTGATCATAGAATAGCAGAGCTGGAAGGGGCCATGAAGGCCATTGGATTCACCCCCTGCTGTTGCAGGACACCACGTCACACCATCCCACTCAGAGGGCTGCCCAGTTTCTGCAAAGCGACATGAGCCAAGCCAAGCCAAGCCAAGGGGAAGTCCAGGAATGCTCACAGTCCACCAGCTGTGCAATCAGCAACCTTCCCCATCCGGAGCTGCAGGATGTGGCAGAGGGGCGCCGTGGACAGGCATGCCACACGCCACTTCTGGCACCCAGCTGTCTCCCCCGCCACCCCCTGCTGCCGGGAGAGAGAGGGGACACTACTTGCATAGCGCTGATTCTGGGCAAGCACCCCATGAATGCTGGAAGCATTTGGACTCGGCTGCTGCAAGGAGCCCTGCTCAGGGAAGCTGACCGATCCCCACCCTCAAGGGGACACCCTTGCACACCGTTAGGCTGAGTAAGTCTTTAGAGCCCATGCGCTGGGTCTCCTGCGCTCTGCGTGTTGTGAATACTGCGGTTCCAGGGAAGACAATCCACTAGTTTTAGCACTATTATTATTACACTGTATTTATATCCCACCTTACTTCCTATTGTGAAAAACCCAAGGTGGCCTACACAGCTCCATTTTGTATCCTCACAACAAACCTGTGGATTGAGCATCTGTGGCCGACCCAAGTTTACCCCCTAAGCTTCATGGCTGAACAGCAACCAAAACCCAGAACCCCGCACCCCCGGTCCCACGCTCTTAACCGCCACACCACACTGGCTCCACACCACACAATGCCAAGCCCTGCTCTACTTTGCCCTGCATTTGTGCATGACATTTCACTCCTGCATGCCCTTTTCTGCCATGTTGGTGTAAACTGAGTTGTGGTTGTTTTGCCATGAAGGCATGCCAGCGGGGTGCAAGGGAAGGCACATCGCAGGCCTTAAGGTGTGCTATATCTTGCTCTGCTTGAGAAATCCAGAGAGGGATGTGGTGAAGAAACAAACTAATCTGCCATTTGTAGGAATGTCCAACACAGGGAGTTCTGGAATAGGGTTGCTCATAACTGCTCAGAGGCTCCCATGTTAGTCCAAAGCACATGAGACTGAAGGGAAGTCCCCAGCATGGCACCTGCCAAGAGCCTGGACACGGAGCAGCCACAGTTCTTCCAATTTTGCCATTTTCTAAATATATATGCATAGATTTGTGTGAAATGCCAACAACCTTCTAGCAATTACACATAAGCTTCAACAACAGTGGACCAAAGATTTGAGTATCAACTTGAAGTTTGTGCCTATAGGCCTTGCGCTTGCAATGTCAAAAGGGTCTGGAGAATCCACTTCTCCTTTCCATTTGTTAACTTCCATAGAACAAGAAAATACAAGAGTGATTGTAAAACTGATCTGTGCATAACATCCAAAAAAGAAGCAGCTATGGGGTTTTGGCAATACATAGTTTAACGAAGCATGGCTACTTCCCGCTCTTGGACACTCAACCTGAAGGTGGCGAGGGGCTCTGGGAGCGTGAGAGAAGGCGAGGGCCATGCTGCCAGGAGGCCAGGCTCCCTCCCCGGGCCAGGGTCCTTGCAGGGACCCCAGTGTGGAACGGGCAAAGCGGGGGCCCCGCCGGGCTGGATGCACCCCCTCTTCAGGGGGAACGGGCACACCCGCAGAAGAGAATGGATCTCTCTAATGGGGGCGGGGGAGAGGATCCTTTGCAGAACGACAACTGAAGGGACGCTCAAGCACTCTGTGGCCCTCGGGGCAGGGAGATCAGTGGCAACCCACTTCCGAGTCCTCCTCGCACTGAGAGCCCTGCGAAGCACGAGAAGGAAAGGCCAAATCGGAGATGGAAGGACTCCAGAAAGGGAGCTCAGCCATGCATTTACAAGAGCCGAGCAGCTGCGCCGGCCGGGCCATTCTGGAGGGCACTCGTTCCTGCAGACTGAATCCACCCAGATCCCCTCGCGAGGTCGCCAACAAATATAGAAACAAAACGGGCCCGCAGAGTGGAAACAAGCCGTATCCTTTCCGGTCCCGGGAAAGGAGAGGCAAAAGAGAGCAGCAGCCATTGCACTAACTTCCTGCGCGAGCAAAGCGACGCTCACGGTGCTGCAGCAAAGAGGTTCCCCCTGCCTGGAGCAGGAGACGCCGGGCATCCAAGCTGGATTCTGGAGAGGAAGGGGCACTCAGAACCCCAGGCAAGGCAGGCTGGACGCGCAGACACCGAAGCGTTTCGGAAGAAGAGCGGTCTCTGCTTTGCGGACTGCAGCAAAGCCTCTGGCTGTGTGGATCACGAGAAGCCACGGGTGGTCCCGAAAGAGATCGCGGGCCACAGGCGCCACAGCGAGGGCAAAGCCTGTGGAGAGAGCGAGGGGTCCCCCACAGGCAAAGGCATCAGACACGGGTGGGCGCACTTTTCCTTGTTCGATCTGTTTGCGGAACGTATTATAAGAAAAGCTGGATTCGAATCCGAGGAAGGAGGGAAAATAGGTTTTCACTCATCGGTAATTTAAGATGCGCACGTGCTTTCACATTACTTGCAGTGAGCAGCAACGATGCGAAATGACTCCGGACGAGAGCGGAAGGCACAAAGCGGTGATCCCGCACGCGCCTCCGTGCAAGCGGCCCGCGCCGCGCCTCGAGAGTCGAACGCAGCCGGGCACAAGGGCGCGCGCGCGGCCAGGACTTTTGCTTCAGAAGCGCTGCCCATTGGACGCCACACGGGGACAGATGGCCAATGGAAGGAGGCCCCTGGCATAACGCCCGCCCTTGCGTTCGCGCGGCCAGAATTGGTGGAAAGGCCACCAATCCGGAGCGGCGCGCGGACGCAGGCGGGCGGAGCTGTGGATCCGCCGCAGTTTGGCGGGCCGAGATGGCGGCGGCGGCGGCGGGCGGAGCGCCGGGCACGGGCGCCGCCGAGGAGAGCCGCCCCGCAGCCGCCGCGGCCCCTCCCTGCCCGGCCCCGCAAGGCACCCTCGGCCGCGAGCAGATCTTGGACTACATCGTGGACACCTTCTTGCAGACGCTGGAGAGCGGCGGGTGAGCGCGGCCGGGGGGGAGCGTCGCGCGGGGCGGGGAAGTCTCGCGAGACCTGAGGCTCCGCTGGCGGGCGGGGCTGTGGCTGCGGGCCCATCGTCCCCAGCCCGCGGAGGGGTGGCAGCTGCAGGCCGTCCAACGGGCCGGGGAGGGGCGATGTGCATCCCGGAGGGCGCCGTCCGTTTCCTTTCCCCGCGGCCGAGCGTCGCGCCTGGCTCTGCAGTGCCCGCCGGTGCAGCGTGGCGGCCGGCGCTCGGCCAAGGGCTCAGCCCGCCTCGCCTCGCCTCCTGCGGGGCCAGGGAAGCTCTGCACGGCACCTTCCCGCTTTTCTCTGGAGGCCGGTTGCAGGAGCTTGCTGGGCCCCCGTCGGGATCCAGCACGGGCCCCCTCTACGGTCCGCGCCCTCCCCCCTCCCTCCCCTCCATAATAGCATCACAGACTTGGGGGCGCGGGGGGCTTCAGGTGGGCCCCTGCTCTGGCGACGGCTGCCGTTGGGAGGGACTTCCCAGATTGCTGTATGGCATTTTTAAAGTGTACTCGAAACGATCATTCTTCCTATAACCCAAGGTACCAACAATTCGTGAAGTGCTACAAACGGCTCTACAAAGCACAGCCTGAACTCACAAAGTGTGTTTACGATCAGTTTGTGTCCCATCTGCAAAGCTCAGTTCAGGTAAGAGCCCAGGGGACAACACCCAAGAACATTCCTCGTATTTGTCAGTGCAACCGGCAAATCGTCCTTTCAAGAAATGAGGAAGGGCAGTTGGTTTTTTCAGATTCGCAGTTAGTCCTCCCTGCAGTATATTCCCTGTCGAATTTATACTCCAAAGTGGGAGCCCATGGTAGGACATCTGATATTAACACACACACACATATAATTATAAATATAATTCCCTAAAGTTTCTCTGTATGAGGCATTTAGCCTGGTGCTTTGCCAGGGCTGTTTGCTGGGGAGGGGGTTGCTTCTCTCCTTTCTGTTGCACAACACAAGGTGGTGCTGTGACACAGTGCAGAATTACCAAATTATGCTGGGCTTCCTGAGTGAGTAAGAGTTATCTGGGATAAACCAGACTTGCCTCACTCTGCTTGTGAACATGGTTGGGAAACGCCAGAGATGTCAAAAGCCCCCACAAGCTTCCTTGAATGAGTTATGATGAGCGCACAAGAAGCCTTATATGCTGATTTTGGAGAGATCTAACAAGATGATGGATCACGTTTAAACATTACTTCCGAAAAAGGACACACGCAAGCATCGGAAGAGTGCTGCTGGGTCAGACCACGAGTCCCTCTAGAATTCTGCTCTGCCCAAGGGAAACATGCGGGCGGTGCGTGTGGCAGCACCTCCTGCCTATCTTCCCCAGCAGCTGGGCACACTGCCTCTGCTTCCAGAAGCAGGATATGGCGATCATGACGAGTAACCATTGGTAACTTAAATCCTCTGTGACTTTCCTTGAACCCCTTTTCAAGCTATCCAAATGGATGGCCACCATTACATATTGTGGAAATTGAGTCCATAGATTTAAGTATGCGCTATAAGGTGAAGCATTTCATTTGATCTGGCCTGAATCTTCCACCGCTCGAGTTCGCTGGAGTGACCTCCTTGGAATTCCAATATACTTAGGCAAGGTGAACAGTGTTTTCCTTTCTGCTTTTCTCCATGCACAATTTTACACTTCTCTAACATTTCCCCTTCCTCATCATTTCTCTCAGATAAAGAGCCCCCAATATTGCAATCAAAACCAGCTCCAGCCCTTTGATCATTTTTAGCCCAACTCTACAATATTATTTTTTTGATGTGGGAACCTAACTATAGACAGTATTACTAGTGTGGTTGCACTACAGAGTTGTTTCAGAGCAATATGATATTGGCATTCATACATTTTCTGTACCACCTGACAGCTGAAGCTCTCTGGACAGTTAGCAACGGCACATTAAATATGCTCCATATTAAAACAGAATCATAGAATAGTAGAGTTGGAAGGGGCCAGAAGGCCATTGGGTCCAACCTCCTGCTCAGTACAGGACACCAAGTTCAATCATCCTGATCAGATATTAAAAATAAAATAAAATGTTTACAATACAAAAATTGTATTTTTGTATAGTACAAAATAAGTGTGCACACATGTATAATCACTTGAAGAAAATCTAAGAGGCCTCAGTATGCTAATTATAGTAGCAACTTTCCAGTAAAGGCTTGTCAGTGTCAAGGATTAGTTGAACTGTGTTGCGCTAATGCAGTTTCAGCTACAAAACCCAGCATTTTTTAAGGTTATCTGTTCACAATCATACTACCATTAGATGCTATTGCTACTTATTCTGCACATTGTTGTTGTTATTAGTTGCGAAGTCGCGTCCAACCCATCGCGACCCCATGGACAACATTCCTCCAGGCCTTCCTGTCCTCCACCATCTCCCGGAGTCCACCCAAGCTCACACCAACTGCCTCAGTGACTCCATCCTGCCACCTCATCCTCTGCCATCCCCTTCTTCTTTTGCCATCTATTGTTCCCAGCTAAGGGTCTTCTCCAGGGAGTCCTTCCTTCTCATTAGGTGGCCAAAGTATTTGAGTTTCATCTTCAGTATCTGGCCTTCTAAAGAGCAGTCAGGGTTGATCTTCTCTAGGACTGACCGCTTTGATCGCCTTGCGGTCCAAGGGATTCGCAGGAGTCGCCGCTAGCACCACAATTCAAAGGCCTCAATCCTTTGGCGCTCAGCCTTCCTTATGGTCCAGCTTTCACAGCCATACATCGCAACTGGGAAAACCATAGCCTTGACTATACGCACTTTTGTTGGCAGGGTGATGTCTCTGCTTTTTAGTATGCTGTCTAGATTTGCCGTAGCTTTCCTCTCAAGGAATTTTAATTTCTTGGCTGCAGTCACCGTCTGCGGTGATCTTGGAGCCCAAGAAAATAAAATCTCTCACTACCTCCATTTCTTCCCCATTTGCCAGGAAGTGAGAGGACATAGGCTTTATTATAAGGCCATGAGATCTGGCATTTATGGGTCTTGGCAACATTGGGCATTGGTTTGTGCATTAAATGCAGTCAAGTGCCCTCGGTTTTAATTGCGCAGTTGCAGTACCTTTCGCTACCGTTTTGTAAGCTGTCATGCAATTCAGAAGCTTGTGATCCATTACTTGAACTAAATGGAATAACTTTTTCTCCTAAATCTTAGTTTCTAATCAGGAGCAAAGACTGGTGTACTAGAAACATTTTGCTTTTTGAATTTATTTTGATTCCTCTGCTAGTGATGCCCAACATGGACTTTGCCGTTTTTGTATCAGCCAGCATTTGAGCTGCCCCCTAGTACACCAGTCACCAATGGCTCACTTCCCCTCACCATATTCATTTATTATTTTATTTATTTATTAAAAGCTTTGGTATGCCGTCCTATTATTCAAAATCTCAGGACGGCTAACAATATTCCATTCCATTCAAAATCTCAGGACGGCTTACAATATGTAATTCCATTTCTATGCTGCCCCATAAACCGAAGGTTCTGTGAGAGGCTTACAATATATATGCAACTGGGAGTTTTAGTCCCATTGTGAATCACTTTACACTTACATTATGATTCTCCCACTTTGGTGGCCCTTTCGCTTAAAGGTGAATTTATTCAGCTTCTCCCTGAATGCCTTTTTCTCCTTTAATGCCTTTTTAGCTGCAGTGGCACTCAACAATCCTTGGATAGTTTGTTGCTTCTGAAATGTTTAAAGAATTCTTTATTATTGGCTTTGGTGTTATATTACATTCCACCTTTTTCCTCTTGTGAAGAACCCAAGACAAGTTGTATAGAAACAGTCAGAAGTGGCCTCCCGGGCCATCTAGTCTGACCTCTGGCACCAGACGGCTCCACTCACGACATGCCCACCATGTGGACGTCCAGCCTGTCCTTGAACACCCGCACCGATGGGGCCTCAATGACCTCCCGGGGAAGCCCATTCCACCCCCTCGGGGTCCTGACTGTCAGGAAGTGCTTTCTGGCATCCAAATGGAACCTTGGCTCCCTGAGCTTTGCTCCGTTGAAGTGCGTCCTGCCTTCCTCTGCAGGGAGAACAGGTCTCTACCCATCTCCGTGTGACATATAGTCCCCCCGCTTCATTTTATCCTCCCAGCAAACCTCTGAGGCAGGCTAGACGGAGTGTGATGGGCCCGGAGCCACCAGTGAGATTCACCGCTGAGTGCAAATTGGAACCTGGATTTCCCGAGTCCCAGCACTGGAAACACTGCCGCACACTGGCTCCTCAATTTATTCTTGTTTGCTTTTTGATTGTCTGCTTGCATTTCCTTTGAGCAGGTTGGTGTTCCTTTTGTTCTTATTTGGCCAAGGTTTCCATTTTCTGAAGGAAGACTTTTTCATTGAGGCTTCCTCAGTGCCTTGCTGGTGACCTCTTGGACTTGGTGCTTTCTTTCTGACTTCTTTCTTATTGTTTTATTGTTTTCTGCAAGCAGATTTAACACTCTTGATCCCTCTTTCAATTCCCTTTGTGCCATTTTCATCATTTTAGAGAGGCTTCCTAATCTCACTGTGCTGGACTTCCTTGGCAATTTCCCGCTTAAATATCAATTAAATTTGGTAGCCCAGCAGCGGTCGCCACTTCTGATTGCCGCCACCCCACTTATGTCTTCCACTGGTCCTGAGTGGCACTGCTTAGAGGTCCATCCAGATCGTGCCCCATCTGGTTGGTTGGTCCAGGGATGTTGAGACATTCAAGCCCCTTTCCGTGATTGGAAGGCACATTTATCCAGTCAGTCAGTGTGAGGGCAGTTGAGATGTGAGACCGTAACAGTATTTGGAATCCGGTTTTTAGTACATTTCTGCATATTTTTTCTGTTGTGTTTTTAAATTTTGTATGCTGCTCTGAGAATTTTATTTAAGGGTGGAGTATAAATGCTAGAAACTTATATCAGAATGTCGGGTGGCAGACCAAGATCTACAAATCTGTTCGGAACTAGCTTCTGCTGTTAACTTTGTTTGGAACAAACCACACCTCTCTTCCAGTGTGACTCCCCTGTTCTACTTACTGCAGCTATTTTCTCTTGTTTTAAGAATATAATATGTGTCAGGACTATGGAGGATGCTAACCGCAAACTTGCTGGTCCTCTCTCTATTGACTGGGCAGTGAAATGACATGGCTATCTTGGCCGACTTCCCAGTTTGCAGATTGAAAAGTGAGAAAATCTGGAGTCTGGCAAGGACTGAGCAAACGCTTGGGCCAGAGGAGGTACTGGAGGCAACGGATCTGCCAAAGCAAAAGTCAGAAGGTTGAGGAGTTGGCACGCTTGAGTCCCCCCAAAGTTATGCCTTCTTAACTGGGGGCCATAAAGTCCACCCACCCCCACAGTACTGCAGCCTCTTGGCTTTTACAGACTCTTGGAACGAAAGGCCCTGGGAGTTGGAGTTGGAGGGGGAAATGCTTCCCCACATACTGATGGGTTTTTCTGTTCGTACAGGAGGAGATCCAAGAGCTGAAGGAAGAAGGGAATCTCACAGTGTTGTTTGAATCGCTGGACAGGCTTGTGGGCGGAGCAAAAGGCCGGGAGACGCCTGCATGGTACGGAATGGCTCGGTGTGGGGCCTGCCTGTCTGGATCGACCCGGCCGGCCCCGCAGCGCCTCTGCCAGGGGCACGCAGCGCTTCTCCGAAGCCTGCCAGCCTGTCGGGAGGAAGGTGCTCCCCACCAGTGCCGGCCGTGCGGTGCGCACCAGGGCGGGGACTGGGCCGTGGTCCCTCCATGCAGAGCCAAGAGTCGCACGGTGTGGGGTGCCACTGGTCAGCCAGGCCTCCCGCGAGGCGTGCTGTGCACCGGGGCTCCCGCGGCGCTTGCATGCACGGGGACGTGCATCTTCCCAGCACGAGAGAACGTGCTGAGGCAACGCTGCCTGAGCCCCCTCTGCCGCCGCTCCTGACCTGCGCCCTCTTGCCGATTGCAGGCGCCCCAGGGGAGTCCCAGAGGAAGATGTCCGCAGTGGGGTTGTGCCATACTTTCTGAAGCAGCGCAAGCTCCTGCAGAGGGCTCTAAAAGAGAAAGAAGAGGGGAATGCCCAGCTGGCCCAGGCGGTGTTGGCTGGTCGAAAGAAAATGGAAAGCTTGCAGGAGGAGATCCAAAAGCGCAAGGAGGCCTGGCAGGTGAGCGCAGCCTCGGAAGAGGGTCTGCAGGGACTTGCCACAGCAGCAGCCTGCAGGGAGGGCAAGCAACCCGCCCCCACAGCCGTTTCTTTCTGCTCACCAGACTGCAGTTTCTGCTTGGCACAAAAAAGGATGTGGAAAGGAGGGGGAAGGTCATGAGACTGAGCCTGGTGAACCTTTCATTTCTCGAAGGTGGGGTTTGTTAAGTATCATTACCTATGTATTTATAGACACGTCCATCCCACCTTCTGGGCTCAGACTGCCTGTAGCTATAATAGTGCAGCGACAATGAAAAACACCCCTAGAACTTTCAAATGTGAAGTGTAATCAGGCAGTAAGGAGGAACTTGGTGAAATGAAGCGGAGTTGCAGTCCCCCTCAGGCAGGGAGAGGGCGCTTCTCAGAGAGCTTGGATGGTGTGACCAGATCTCTTCCCTGCTGCTCTGCCAAGTATACCTCCCAAGGCGGCAAGGCGTGAAACAAGCTCTCGGAAGAATGAAGGGGGCTGTTCAGAGGAGCTGGCGTTCCTACAAGCATCCCAGCCCCACTCCTTGGGGGGGCTTCCAGGTAGCAGCCTTTGAACGGAGCCTGACGACTGGCTGGCAGCTTGTACAGAGTGAACGTGAGTGGGGGAAGCCTGCCCCCCAGTTTCCCCCAGCCCCCTGTCAGTTATCCATTAGTCTAGTCCCAGTTGCCATCCGACCAGGGATGGAGGGAGTTGTTGCACTAGGCATCCAGACAGACCCACCCCACCCATGCACAAAAGGAAAGCTTCGCTAGGCCTGGAAGGCCCCCCACAAGGTTTGCAAAAGACAGGACGTCGGCGTGGGGTCCGTGTGGCTTTAGGGTTCAGCTCAGTGAGAAGTGGGTGCACTGTGACGTGAAATAAAAATGGGCTTCCTTAATTTTTTACTCCTAGAAATGGAAGGTTCCGGTTCTTAAATGTTTTGCTGATCAGGCAGACTTAAATGTAAACAGCTTAAAGGAAAGTCAGATAGGGTGGGTTTCTCAGCAGAGTTGATGGAAGGTTCCCCTTCCTCTGGTGCAGCAAGCCTGGCATTGACAGCTGCTGAGAGGACCAGCAGAAACAAGAGACGCCCCTGGCGTCAGGCTGCTGGTGCCAGGGCAGCCAAGCTGCTCTCAGCTCCCAGTGCGGGCCTGAGCCACGGTTGGCAAGATCAAGATACTGTCGACAGATTCTGAAACCGCTTGTGCCTTTTCCTCTCTCATTTTCTTCCAAGAAACCTAGGAAACTACAGTTCTCTGAGCAATTATTGAACTTTTTTTGAGACTGTCCTGTGGAAAAGATCTGCCTCTGAGAGGACCTTCAATGCCATGTTTGAAAATTATATACATTTTCTCCCTGTTTCCCTGCAAGGGTTGGGCCTGGCTGAATTTGTTCCCTTATAATTAGTTTTCTGAAGCGGAGCTTAAAGGTGGGTTCTGGATATGGAAATGACTTTCAGATGGTGATTTTTTTTGTGGCGGGGAGGTAACTTTATCAGAGCAATGCTGATAAAAGTATTAGAGATGGATTTTGGAAATGTTCTAGCCAACACGTCTGCATTCACTTTTTGTTTTCTATGTTCTATGTTTGATTGTTTTTGGTGTTTTAAGTGGTTACAGTTACCGTAAGCTATCCCATGGGGTGGACACCCGAAAGAGCAAAGAATTAAACCTCATAAACCCAGTCAGACCAATCTTACTTCCTCTCTTCCTTCCAGGAAATTGCTGAAGAAGGTCAGAAGGTTGTGAATATGTTTGATGAGCTTCACTGAGCCTGCGTACTTCTCACGCGGGGAAGATGGTCGGCATCAGAAACAGGCCACTGACACTGGCTCTCCCCCATAGGCTTCCCTGAGGAATTTGCTGAGCTGAACTTGGTGGCAGGACAAATTCCCCTAGCGTACGACCCTTCCAAGCAGTGCCCCCGGCGCTTCTGCTGCTGGACATCTTTCGAGCCTGTTTTCTGTGGGTCTGGGAATGTTGGACTGTGCAAGCCAGCGTGCCTTTTTTACAGGGCCCCAGTTCTGGCTCTTTGGCCACGATGCTTGTTAATCCTCCTCAGGAAGCACAAGTTCCCCCCTCGCAATTCTTTGGTTATCCCCAGTGCAGCTGCTTCTGCATCTTAAGGTTCCTCCTCTCTCGTGCTGGTCGCTGGCTCCCTGGATCGTCATCTGTTCAGAGCGTCTGTCCTAGGAGTGACTTGTCGCGTAAGGCAGGAGAAAAAGCTCCGTCCTCATGGGGGGTATGATGGTAGAAGACACATCTGGAGCTCCGCCACAGGCAAATCGGCGACGGGGTCGCCACAGGACACTCCATCTGCCTGTTAAAAACCGAGGTGCCTGTAGAGGACTGGGGCAAAGCCCCCTTGGTTCGGTTTTTGTTGGACAAAATGCCTCGCTCTTGATGTTTAAAACGAGCAGAGACAGTTCTAGAGGAAAGAGCACAGCCAAACCTCCTGGTGTCCTTCTGGAATACTTTGAGGCTTCGAAAATAGTCCTGCCAAGCCATTTGGTTTGTATTAAAATAACATGGTTACAGTTCTAGTCTTGCAGTTCTTTAATCCAAGCAGAGTCATCTGCAAGCCATTCCGTGTGCTGCCTGAACCCAGATGACATGACAAGCCCAAGGTGGCCAAAACCACCTTGGCAGGAGCCGCTTGGCAGGAGAGGCGAAAAGCTTGCCTTTCTGGCCAGGCAGTTCGTAGGGAGTGCCAGTGACGGCCGCCCCCCCCGGCGCCCTCCCACCCTCAGGCGCCCTCCCGGGCTGTGCGGGCTCCTTCAGCGAAGCGGAGCAGGATGAGGCTCGGCTCTCCCCTTCCCGCAAGGCCCGTGCCGTGGTAGCCCGGCAGCCGCGGTGCCGGGCACGAAGGGGCCTTTTCCTGGGTGTGGATGGGAGGAGCAGCTCATCCCCTCCCCGGGCAGGTGCTGCAAGGCCAGGCAGGGAGGTGAGCATGGCTTGGCCAAGCAGTGTTGGCGCTGGGTGGCGCGCTGGGCGCGGAGGCACGGCTTGGTTGCGGCAGAGCGGTGGCGGCCCGTGATGTGGCTCGCAAGGACCGCTCCTGCTCGGACGTGGTGGTGGGAAGGGGGAGACGTCAGTGCCCCCACGGCGTCCCCAGGATATCTGTGGAGCGACTCTGGGAGAGGCGCCCGAGGGTACTGCCGCTCGCCCCAATCCGTGGGGGCCCCAGCCCAGCAGCTGCCTGCGATGGCATGTGAGCCACCCCATCTTCAGCGGAGGGCCTGTAACAGCAGGTGCAAGCACTGACCTCCCTTTCGGGACCTGTGGGGGGCCCAGCGCTCACTGGGAGCCTACGTCCTGCGTGTGCAGAAGGGCTTCGGCTCAGTCTTCGGCATCAGATTTTGGAAAGCAGGACACGGAATGCTCCTCGGGACACCACATCGCAGGGTTCTGCAACGGTGGAAGTTCTTTTGACCCGATGCACTTTTCTTCCGTGGAGTCTTGGGATTGCTCTGTGGCAGAGAGAGCGACTGCCTGGGCCCCTGGTGCGGAGCCAGCCAAAGGGTTAGGAGCACGGGGTCGGGTCACCCTGCCGGGGGCGGTCAAGGGGAATTCGGCTGATCCCAGTAGCAGCCAGAATCTCCTGTTGTGGGTGAACCAGTCCCAGCTGCTAGGAAGACGTTGGTACTAAAACGCTGAGAGGAAGGGCCGCCGGGAGGAGGGCTCCGAGTAAGTGCCCCGGGAGCAGGTCGTCCCATGGCAGCCCCGCTGTGTGGCAGCCGCGCACCAGCTGCGTCTGGGCAGGCAGGCATGTCCTCGGTCTCCTGCGGCGCCCCGGAGTGCAGTCGCACGGCACGGGTTCTGGACGCGCTTTGCCCGTGTGGGCAGAGGTGGACGTGGCGCAGCGACACAAGGCCATCTCGGCTGAAGCCGGGCAATGGACGTGCGCTCCCCTGTCCGCTGCAAGAGGCTGGGCTTCAGTGGCAGATGCTTCCTCGCCAAAAAGCCACGGTCAGCCGTGGGTTGCTCCAAGAAGTCCCAAAGCAGTGCTGCTGCGGCACCACGCGGGGGCGGGGGGGGGCTGTCTCCACAGCTGCTGGCATCTGCTCCCAGTTAGAGATAATGTTGTGTTTGGATGTCGGGCTGAAATTTTGGTCGGGTCAACAACCCTCATCGCTAACCTCCTGTTTTGTAAACACAGGTTTCTTGTTTACATTATAAATATAGACCGGATACCAGGACACTGGGCTGGCTTGTGCCGTGTTCCTGTGGCAGCGGCGGCTGGTGTGGGATGCCTCCAGCCTCAGCTGTTCCGGAGGTTTAGAAACTGGGAAGCAGCTGAGACTCCAGGGAGAGCACAGGAGTCCGGAGCGCAAGCTGGCTGCTCGTGGCGGACTAGCAGCATGCGAGACCCGAGACACGGCTCTCGGGTGCGGCCGCGCATGCGCTGTGGCAGGGCCCGAAGGTCCAGGGGGAGTCCAACCTGCTCCGGATGGGGTTGCGCTCCCTGTGGAGGAGGGGGTTCGAAGCTCGGGGTGCTCCCTGGCCCCTCTGTCACTTGAGGCGCAGGTGGCGTCAGTGGCTCCGAGGGCCTCCTGCCTATCTGGACAGAGACAGCCTGCTGTCAGTGATCCATGCTCTGGTCATCTCTAAACCGCGCCACTGCGATGCAGTCCACATGGGGCTGCCCTTGAAGACTATTCCGAGGCTGCAGCTTGTACAAAATGCAGCAGCCAGATTAAGAAAGGGATCAGACGGCCGGATCCCACAACCACAATGCCGGCTCGCTCGCACTGGCTGCTTGCATGCTTCCAAGCTCAATTCAGGGAGCTTGTTTTAACCTACGAAACCCTACCCTGCCTGGTGCCAGGATACCTGCTGGAATCCCTCTGCTACAGCCGGCCTCTGCGGCCGTCCCCAGGTGCCCCCCCCCCAAGTTACTGGCAGCAAGAGGAGCCAAGTTCTAGAATGAGTTACCCTCTGAGGCCCACCCAGTGCCTGCTTTGCTATCTTTTCAGCATCAGGTCAAGACTTCACCTAACCGCATTTAATTAGTTGGGGCTTTCTTGGCGAAGCTCAAGGAACCAAGGCTCCATTTGGTTGCCAGGAAGCACTTCCGCACAGTCAGGACCCCGAGGGTGTGGAATGGGCTCCCACGGGAGGTGGTTGAGGCCCCATTGGTGCGGGTGTTCAAGGATCGGCTGGACTTGCACATGGTGGGCATGTCATGAGTGGAGCCAACTGATGCCAGGGGTCAGACTAGATGGCCCGAGAGCCCCCTTCGGATTCGCTCAGTTTCTATGTTTCCAAGGATCTTGCATGCCTTGGCAGAGTCATCCCTTCAAAGGGAGGTTGCAGCCCAGAAATGCAAAGGGGACTTGGAAGGGCAGCAAGGAAGGAAGTAGAAAAGAGAATGCTTCACTGGAGACCAAGGCCAAGAGCATCTGCACTCATATTTCTGATCCCAGTGCGTGGGCGCAAAAGCTGAACAGAGAAGAAAGCTGATGAGAAGAAAATTAATGCCTTTGAATCGTGGTGCTGGAGGAGAGTTTTGCGAATGCCCTGGACTGACAGGGAGACAAACAAGAGGGCTCTGGATTAAATCAAGACAGAACTTTGAAAGCCAAGAGGACACCACTGAGGCTGCCCTACTCTGGCCACTTAATGAGAAGGCCGGCCTCTCTGGAGAAGGCAGTCGTGCTGGGGGAAGCCAAAGGCAGGAGAAGAAAAGGGCGAGCGGCGAGGAGATGGGTGGACTCCATCAAGGAAGGCACGGCCTTGAAAGGGCTGCCAGGGAGAAGACTTCCACAGGGCGGCCATAAGCCAAAGACGATTTCATGGTGTGCGACGATTACACTAGAGTTAACTCTGGATTAATTCTTCAACTGTGCACATCATTTAAAATCCCTGTAATGTAAGCTGTTTGGAAACAGTGATAGGGATTCATTCAGTGTGGCTTTTCATCTGCAAGTTGTCGCAGTGCTCTTCCGGCCCGCCCTTTCCCCCGGACTTCCCTTCGGCTTCTTTCCGTGTTTGGAAGCTCCTACAAGACCTGCTCCCGGCCTCCCCCGCGTCACCGGCCCGCCTGAGCTCAAGGCTGACTCTCCGCCGGGGCAGGTGAGGGGGCAGATGCCGAGCGGCATGCCGGGGGGGCCCCCCTCCTGCCCCGGCGCTGCGCAGGGCACCGGGCCGTTGGCGGCGTTGGCCCAAGGCCGCTGCCAGGCTGGCTCGTGGCCTGTGGTGGGGAGGGAGGGGCCCCCCCGGCCTGCCGTGCGGGGCCCCTCCTGGGAGCCGCTGTTCGGCCGGGGCCACCCCTGGGCGGCTGCTTTCTCCCAGCGCCCGAGCTCCGGCAAGCCCGTTCCGCCCGCTGCCTCCCTGCCTCCCTCTTAGCGCCACTGGCAGCTCCTGGCCTGCCTGCCCTGCCCTCGCATCCCCCTGCCCAGCTCCTGCCGTGCAGCGGAGGCCTTGCTCCTCGGCTGCGGCTGCTTCGGGAGCGGGGAGGCGTGGGCAGCGGGCCTTGTTGCTGCAGGCCTGCGAGCCACGTCCGCTCCGCTCGGCGGCGCACGTGGCGCCGGGGGGAGTGGGCCCGGCCCTCCTTCCGAGCCTCTGTGCTGGTCTGGGTCTGGCGCCCCTCGGCTGCTTCCTCCCCGGGCCTGGAGGCCATCCCAGGGCTGGGAGCCCAGCAGTGTGTCCCGCTGGACGGGATGCCTCGAGGGCAAAAGCGTGGAGGCAGCAGGCAAAATTAAGCCTTCGGGTTTCCCTCTGGTTCTCCACATCCTGCGGAGAGGAAACCCCAGCAGTGGGAGCGTCCAGCAGCCTGCTGCTGATTATATGCTTGCAGTCCATCTTCTTCCCTGGCCGCTGCTCATGGCCCAGATCCAGCTCCCTCTCCTGGCAGGCAGCTTCAGATGAGACGCACGGAGTGCTGCTGACGCAGAGGCTGTGGAACACGGACCACGGCGCACGCGTGGACTCGCTTGCCACAGTGGGGTCCTGCCTTGCATGCCGGCCCCGTCCTGAACAGCAGGGGAGCCGGGGAAAGAAGGGCCCATTTTGCAAACTGAAAGTCCCCTGCACCTCATGGCCACAGAGAGGCCCAGTCAGACTTTCCACCCTGTTTATCTCCTTCCTGGTCGCCCAGTGATTGCACGCCGCTGCTGGGACCCAGTGCTGGGTGCAGGAGGGCAGCCGAGCCCCCTCCCGAGCCCATCTCGCCTCCGAAAGGCTCAGGGCAACAGCCAGGCAGCCCGGCCGGGCCCCTTCCCCTCAGGCGCCTTCTGGCCTGCCTCTCTGCTCCTTCTGCAGTGCAGGCTCACTGGAAACGCAAAGCTGTGGCTGTGGGTGCTGTCGAAATGAAATGGCCTGGCAACGACTCAGGGTGGCCAACAACTGTGGGCGATAAAATACCAATATAAAGCTGGTCATATAAAATCGGTAACAAGGCAAGAGCCACTGACAGCAGAAAGGAGCCGTGGCTGGTTGTTCTCAAGAAGGGCTGCAAGCAGCAGCTCAGCAGCCAGGCCGGGCAGCCAAGGGCCTGCGGGGACAGAAGGGGCTTTGGCTGCCGGCTGGGCAGGAGAGGGCCGCCGCTGGAAAGGGAGCCCTTTGGGGCCGTGGCAGTGCAAAGGTGGGCAAACAATCTGTTGCAGGAGGAGCCCTGCATGCAGGCTGGGGGCCAGATCCGTCCCTTCTCAGCTGGCCGTGCGCCTGCTCCCTTACACCTGGGTTGAGAGAGTCTTTCCTGTGCAGCAACAGGCCACCCAAATCCCTGCTGCCCCCCTTCCCCTGTTCAGCCACAATGGACCCCAAGCCCTGCAGAGGATGAGCTGCACTCGGCCCCCCCCCCCGACTTTTCTTTGGTGCTGCCGGTGCCTTCGCACACACCTGCCTCGCCTCACTTCCCCTTGCCTCCTTCCTCTTCTGCTTTTTCCAGAGTAATTAATAGTTACTCTGTCTGCTCTGACATCAATCCCTGGAAAACTTCTGGACAGATTATTTAAAATCCCATCTGTAAGCATCTTAGAATAGAACCATAGAACAGTAGGCTTGGAAGGGGCCAGAAGGCCATGGGGTCCAGCCCCCTGCTGTTGCAGGACACCAGGTCACCCCACCCCACTCAGAGGGCTGCCCGGGTTCTTTCTGAATGCCTCCAGTGGGGGAGAGCCCCCCGCCTCTCCTGGCAGCTGCTTCCACTGCTGTGTTGCTCTGACAGAGAAAAGCTTTTCCTGATGTCCAGCCTGAGTCTGGGTTGCCCCAGCTTGAATTGATTCATGGCCCCTTCCAACTCTGCTATTCTGATTCTAATAGTATCATCATGTTGTTGATATTCCCAGCATTGTGCCCCAACTCACTATTATAATAATGGAAGCCAGCAAAACAATGTAAATCAAGGTGCTACCTATTACCTAATTCAGGTTCAATTAAAAGCAACCCCTTCACCGAGCACACCTGTTTTCTGTGCCGCAACTGCGCCAAATTAGCTCTGAAGCCTCTTAAAGGAAGCTGGTGAGCGGAGATATGCACACTCGTGGCTTCTGTTTTATCTCTGCAGCAAACCCTTAGGAAGCATGGCTCCTGCCTACACCAATGTGGCCCTTGCGTTACTCCCCCCTGCAGACGTGTGTGGTGTGTCTCAGGCGCAGCGACTGAAGCGGGCCGAAAAGGGTGGGTGCGGGAGGCTCCCCCGCGTGCTGCTGGCTGGAGGGCAGGAGCCGATGCGCCTTGTGAGCCCTTGCCCACTGCTCCAGGAGGGGGTCCCGTCTGCAATGATCAGCCGAAGGGTGGCAGCAGCCTCTCCCCCACTGGCCTGAAATGGCACGGCGGGCGGGGGGGCTGCTGCCGCCGGTGTGTGCCCAGCTGCCCGGCACGGCTCACACTTCCCAGCCCTAAACAGTGGGGATGGCGGGCAGGAACATGGCTGGAAAGGGGGGGGGACAGTGTGGGGGGGTGCGGGGATGCAGGAGGAGGGTCGCTCACAGGCAAGCTCGGTACACGGAGGGCAGCGGTCGGCGGCACGCACAAAGAAGCTCTTGGCGAGGGGATTTTGCGCTTTGCCAAGTGGGTCTTGTAGCTGGGCTTGACCCCTGAAACAGGGTTAGAAACAGAAACAAAGTGAGCCAGAAGGGGTCTCCCAGGCCATCTAGCCTGACCCACGGCTCTAGCCAGCTCTGCTCATGACATGCCCACCCTGTGCATGTCCAGCCTGTCCTTGAACACCTTCACCGATGGGGCCTCGGCCACCTCCCATGGAAGCCCATTCCATGCCCTGAGGGTCCTAACTGTCAGGAAGGACTTCCTGGCATTCACCCTAAATCTTGGTACCCTGAGCTTGGCTCCATTGGAACACGTCCTGCCCTCCACACTAGGGGGAAAATGGTCATGACCCACATCAGCATGGCACCCCCTCACGTACCTGTATGTATGTACCTAACAGGCCCCCTCCAAGTCTCCTCCTCTCAAGGCTGAAAAGACCCAGTATCGCCTCATGCGGCTTTCCCTGCAATCCGGCCACCCTCCTTGTGACCCTTCGTTGCATTTATTCCAAACTTGCTATATCACTCTTCTAATGAGGGCCCCGGAATTGAACACACTGCTCCAGCTGCAGGTGCACCAGAGTCGTATACAGTGCCAATAATAATCTCTCGATCTAGAAGCCACACTTCCGGCTGTGCAACCAAGTGTGGCGTTCACCCTCTTGGCCACCGCATCACACGGCTGCCTCATGTTCAGCCTGCAGTCGACCAGCACCCCGAGGTCCCTTTCACAAGCGCTGCTCTCCAACCACTTGTCCCCTAGCCTGTACTTATGACACCTATTCCTATGCCCCAAGTGCAAGACCTTGCACTTATCCACATTGAACGCCATCCTGTTGTCTCCTGCCCACTTCCATAGTCTGTCCAGATCCAAAAGGATCTGGAGTACCTGCTCCTCAGTTGTGGCCATGCCCCGGTTTTGGTATCATCTGCAAATTTGATCAGTAGACAGTTCCCCCCTTCTTTCAGGTCATTGATGAAAAGATTGAACAGGATTGGCCCCAGGACAGAGCCCTGGGGGACCCCGCTTGCCACTGGCCGCCATCCTGATGATTCCCTACATCCAAACTCATCCGAGGTCATGCAACACAAAAACCCAATCAGAGGTCAAACGACCCCAATGGCAGACCAAAAGCAGGCCACCCTGGCAACCCTTCTGGGTTCACACAGCACAGGACTCCCGTATGTTGTGTTGTGCAAACACATTCCCAGGTTCAGTGCCACGTTTGGCCTGTTTTGGAAGCTCTGAGTGTAGCTGAACGTTTCGAAGTACCTGAGCTTCCCTGGTGGGGCAAAACGTGAGCTCAGGTTCACACACAGCCTGTTGGCCACTGTGGCTGAGGCGACACGCCGGCTCGCACCTCTGGCTGCGGCATCGCGCCAGGCTCCCTTCCCCAACCGGCGCTCTCCTGATGCGTCGAAGTACCACGCTCGGCATACCCCAACCGGCCTGGAGAGCAACGCATCTGGAGGGCGCCCGCTTGGAGAGCCTTCCCTCTGCGGACACGGAAACCTCGGCTCGGCCCTTTCTGTCCGGCCGAGTCCGCTCCCGGCACAGCCACGCGATCGCGCCGGCCGCTTGGCCTGGGCCGCCGCAGCCCTCGCCCCCGGGACAAGCCCCAGCCGGCGCGCGACCTTCCTCCGCCGAGCGCCCGGCCCCGGCCCCGGCCCCGGCCCGCCCGCTCCCCGCCGACCGGCGAGTTGGGTCTGGCGCGCCCCCAAACCGCAACGAGTCTCTGCCGCGCCGAGGCTTGGCGGGCGCGCCCCCGAGGCGCTCTGGCCCGCGCCCCGCCGCCCGCCCCTCCCGAGCTGGGGGGCGAGGGGGCTCACGTGGCCCGCCCGGGCTGCGGGAAAGTATAAACGGAGCGCGGGGCGCCCGGAGCGCAGCTGCCCGGCACGCCGCGGCCCGACGACGCCCCGCTCCGCCGACATGCGCGCGCTGCCCCTGCTGAGCCTCCTGGCGCTGCTCGCGCTCTGCCTTTGCCGGACGGGTACGCCGGGAGCCGCTGCGCCGAGCCGGCGGGCCCTCTCCCATCATCCCCTCCCGCCGGGCGGTTGCGGGAGGGGCCCGGGGCGTGTGGGGCAGCCTGGCGCAGCGGGAGAGGAGCGCTCTCCGCGAGGACCGCGGGCCGCCCTGCCGCTGCCGCGAAGCTGGCGGCCCCCCCGGGCTGCTCCCCCTCCCCGCAAGCCCCCGAGCGCTTCCACCCGGTGCCTCCCCAGCGGGCCGCTCCAGCAGCGCTGCCTGCGCCCCTGGGAGCGACGCGGCGGTTAAAAGCGCTTAGCGGGCTGCGGGCAGGGGGGCTCCCGCACTCGGCCTTCCCTCGCCGCCGCAGCTGCCCCGGCGCAAACGGCGCTTGGCGGGCGGGCGGGCTGACTTCCTTCCTTCCTTCCTTCCTTCCTTCCTTCCTTCCTTCCTTCCTTCCTTCCAGCGGACTCTGCTCGCCCCGAGAGCGCCCACAACGCGCCCAGCGCGGAAGGTCAGTTCTCGGTCCCCCTTTTCGGGTCCCCCCACGCCCCGGTGCGTGTGCGCGAGAAGGGCTCGGCTCGGGAAAGCCGGGCACGGGGCACGGGAGTGGGCGAGATGGGGGACGGCGCAGAACGCGTGGAGAAGCGCCTTATCCGGCCTCCTCAACAACGAGGGCCAGAATCGCGCTTCTTACTGTTTCAAATGCGAGTGGCGATTCCCAGGGTCCGAGTTTCCACTCGGAAGGGCTCAGCCACCGCGGGAATGAAGTGGAGCAGGTAACCGGGGAGAAACCTTCCTGGAGGGGAGGCCGTCCTGGTGCACGTCTCTTTCTTTCCCCGTAGCTTTTGTTTCCAAGCGCGCCAGCGCGGAACTAGTGAAGAGGCACAGGAGGAGCTATGACAGGTAAGGGCGGCTGGTAGTGGCCCGACTGGAGAGCCATGAGGTGCTGCTGCGGGTGCCTCCCAGGTGGCCGCCGGGGAGCCGCAGGGAAAAGCTGGGTGCCCCCTGCAGGAATCACGGAGAGGCTGCATCCACCATGCAGGGGCAGGTCCCGATCCTACGGTCAGGCAAGACCATGATCGAGGCCAAGCGAAATGCCACAAAAGAGCAAAGCACCATTTTCTGTGCCCTTTGTGTTGGCTGCAGAAAAGACATTGCCCAGCAGGAGATTTGGGGTTCAAATCCCCTCCAGAGGCCAGAATTGGGGTCTTTTACTCACAGGGGGGCTGGCTCCCTGGGTGCAGGCATGCATGCCGTGGGCTGGCTGGTTGCGGCAAAGGGATTGCTGGCCCACTGACCCCAAGCAGTGTCCCCGCAGTGCCGATGGGGCGCTTCCGGCACGCCTGGCCCCCTTGATCCCAGAGTGTTGTGCAAGAGCCGAAAGCGGGAAGCCACCAGCGCCTCTTCACACTCGATTTCACGAGTGTTAAAATGGAGGAGCCCCAGCAAAAGTGGGCTTCCGTTTGCGCTTCTCCGCAAAAGCTTTGCAATGTCGAGCCACGCTGGAGGGTGGCCCGGGCGCGCGTGGAAGTGCCCAGGGATGTGGGGCGGGGAGCGGGTCCTCCTCCTGCACCCAGCCAGCTCAGGTGCCGGCGTGCCGCCTGATGCAGAGTGCTGGACTGCAGCGGGACTCTGGGCTTCTGACGGACCCTCAGCATCACCCACCCTCAGGGTTGCTGTGAGGATAAAATGGACCGTGTGCAAGGGGGGGAAGGCAGGATGAGTGGGTAACAAACGAGTTTGCAATAGATGCCCCGTCAGCCCCTCCCACAACACAGGACAGCCCCAGCATCCACACTCCCCCCCCCCCTACAGCCCCCGGCCATCAGGGTGGCATGGCTGGCCTGGGCAGGGCGGGCTCTGTGGGGGCCTCCGCTGGCACCACCTTCGGCAGGCGGTCGCGTGGGGGCTGCGCGAGGTGCCCCTGACCGGCGCCGCTTCTCCCCGCAGGTTCTACGATGTTGCTGCCCAGGTGGCCTCCAAATCCCCTTTCGAGCCGCAGCGGGAGGTGTGTGAGCTCAACCCCGCCTGTGACGAGCTGGCCGACCTAGTTGGCTTCCAGGAAGCCTACCGAAGATTCTACGGCCCCATATAGGCTCGCAGCCTTGAAGCCGCCCCGGGGGGCCAGCGCCGAGTCGAGTCGCTCTGCTCGGGCGAGGGGCCTTGCCCTTCTTTCTGAAGACGCCCGTGCCTGAGCGGCTTCTCTTTGCACCAGCAGTGCCTTCGCTTTCCCACTGTAAAACGCTTGCTTAACGTTCATGTTCTACCAATCAAGAACACCATTAAAACAGGCCATTTCAAATCCAAGCAGATGCCAGGCTTCTGGCCGCCTCGTTCTGCTTTTGTGCGGTGGCCCGGCTGAGCGGGCCTGGTGGCGCCGGCAGGGGAGACCTGAGCAGGCCTGCCAGGAGGAGGAGGAGGAGGAGGAGGAATGAGCTGCAGGAAGAGAGCGGCATGGCTGCAGCAGGCAAGGAGAGCCACAGCAGGGAAGGTCCAGCAGAAGCAAGGCTGGGAGGTGGTTTGGAGGAGAAAGCGGGGGGCGAGGTGAGGCGAGGCACGGCCAGACTGGGGCTGCCCGGACTGGCTGGGGGCTTCGTGCAGAATGACGGAAAGAAGTGGGCACCCTTCGAGATGCCGCGTGGTGTCGATTAAATGCCCGTTATGTGTGCAGCGGACATGTACCTGGGCTACCCTCGGACAAGGACATCGATCCCGGGGGGCTGGCAGTGCCACCTTCCCAAGTGGGGGTGCCCAGTGCCCCTGCCCAGCCCTGCCCAGCGGCTGCTGAGAGAGACCCCCGTGAGGGAGGGGCAGGCTCCTTTTCTGGCAGCAAGCGCAGGTCAAGAGCTGCTTTGCGATCTTGGGGTGGGGGGTTGTTTGTTTACTGCCTTTTGATCCATATTTGCAGAGAATTGTCGTCTCCCAGCAGCTCACATCAATAAAACACAGCCCTGTAGTCAGAGTGAAAAGCCAAGAAGGCAAAGCACACGAGGGAAAAGCAAGAGCGACCTGTGTGGGCAGTTCACCTTATCCCAGGCCTCCCTGCCGCTTGCTCATTATTCATTTACTTATTAGATTTATAGCCCACCTTCTTCCTTTCAAGGAACTCAAGGCCGCTTACATATTTCTCCTTCCCCTTTTTCTCACAATTTCATTTATTTAAAACTTTTCTATGCAGTCCCATCACGGTCGTCTCAGAACAGTTTGCAAGACATTAATCTTACCCCACAACCCCTACCCTGTGAGGTAGGCTGGGCTGAGTCCAGCCACCTGGTCAGCCCCATGGCTGAGCGGGGCCTTGAGCGCAGCGCTCCCCCATCCCCAGTCCCGCGCCCTTGACCACTGCACCGCAGGGGCTCCCTCGCTGCTCCAGTAAGACGCCCGCTGCTGCTTTGAGTGCCAGCTGCTGCGCAGCGCCCTCCCCTGCCCCCTTCTGCAGCCCACGCAGGGCAGGTGCTGGTGGCAGCGGACTTCTGCCAGGGAGGGAGCAGCAAGTTCCCCACACCTGTCCCCTGGCCCGGCACACCTGTCCCCCGTGGGTCTCCACCGTGGAAGCCTGTTGCTACACACCGTGTGCTCCTGGCAAAGTCTCCGCCCAGTCCTTGCCACCTCCTTGCCAAGCAGGCAGACAGGCAGGCAAGAGCCCCCCCCCCCCCCCCC